CGCGTATTTTACCCCAATTCCTTCTCACACTCCCCTAGTAAATCCCAGAGCCTTGCGAATGAAACTGATTTGGGCTCATGCGCCCAACGTCGCAGCACGCGACGCTTGATTGTGCGTTGGATGGTTGGACTCTGAGCACGAATAGGTCCGTTGGCAACATGTATCGTGTTCAAACACAAATGTTCTCCACGCCCATTTAAGGTAACTTAATCCCAACTTCTAGTGCCAGTTTCTTAATTAGTAGACACCGGTTCTTTGGAGCTTGATTCAATAGTGAGAGAAGGTCGTTTATTGTTAGTGGAATTTGCAGTTACAGTTCAACAAGGGACGATACTCAATGTAGTCTAAACCCTATATCGCGTCCCAGATTACACCTACACAACACGCAAAGTCCGGCACATTACCACGGCTGTGCCTCCCTGGCGCAACTTCACGAGGCATGGTTGGCATCGACCACGCTGACGCGGCAGAAAGAATGGTTGTTCACGGCGCCCGAATCAGCTGTGACTCCTATCTGTAAATCTGCCGAACCTGGCAGGCAGCACGGCGGGGACGATTACCGGACGTGCACCAAACCACCCAGTACCCACAAAGTGGTGCACGTTCGGGTTCTTCCCCTCCAATCCACCCTCCACATCCTCCCCAACGCCCCCTCTGCGATCCCCTTCGACAGTTCAAACTGGAGTTTGAAATTTCAAACTTCAAACCCCACCCTCCTTCCACCACTTCAAACTCCCTCACCTGTCCCCCCTCGTTACCGCCACACATCGCTATTGGCATCAATCGGGGCATCAAGCAGGCCCCCAGTTGTATCGCGATGCGTAGCCAAGGTAAGAGGAGATGTTCCATGCGTCTCTCCAACCAACATTTCGTATAAATAGGCTTATGTTGCTGGAGTGTTGCTATCAGCTACTCTTTCACTAGTGATTTAGTACTTATAGCTTTCAGTAGCTCATTATGGGCCGTGCTGGTTCATTCCCCGTTCCCGCTAGTATGTAGATGGCGGAACCGTTACGGACTTCCATTCCGCGCAAGAGCAAGGACAACCATGCATTTTTTCCTGCTATCAAAGGTAGGCGATCTCTGTGTTTTTTTTTCCTTTGAAGTTATTTATGGTCAGCGTGTATTAATTGCAGTGTTTTAACTACCTTGTTCTTCTTTTTTCCCAGACGGTGATACACTCGACGCAGCCATGACTGGCGCTCGATCTGGCAAGCGCAGCTCCAAGCGTCAAGGCGAGCGAGCCAACGGTGTCAAACGTGCTACGGTTCAGGGAAAGTCGTCTGCTGCCGCCGCATCACCGACTACCACTGCCGATCGTGCTCCTGGCGCCGCCATTTCTGCTCATGCCGCTGCCGATCCTGCGCCTGCCGCTGCCGATCCTGCTCCTGCCGCTGCCGATCCTGCTCCTGCCGCTGCCGATCTTGCTCCTGCCGCTCCCGATCCTGCTCCTGCCGCTGCCGATCCTGATCCTGCCGCGGCGGTGGATGCTGCCACTGCGGATGCTGAGGAGGAAGAAGAAGAGGAGGAGCTCTTCGGGGACGTAATTGCGCAACCGCTTCAGGGAAACGGCCAACGTGGTAAGCTTTGACGCGCGTTCTGAGTAGGTGCTAAGCTATTTTATTACTTACCTCCGCTCCTCCGTGCCATGCAGGCCTCACCGTCTATGCCCGTACCATGAAGCAGGCGGGCGTTAATCCCAGTCCAGAGGCCGATAAGTTTCATCCCGAATCGCGCCCAAACCCGGTCAATCAGAGCCTTCGTGCGCAGGCCGCCATTGCTCGCGATGCTGTCCAGGCGCTGCAGACCGACTGCAAGACCAAGGACCTGCAGATCCTTAAAGCTCTTGGCATCGCCGGTTCTCTCGCCGACACTGTGCTCCTGCAGAAGATTGTTAATCTTGATTTCGAGGTGAGTTGTTTTCTTTTCGCTTTGGTTCTCTGTTTACTCTGGTTTTTAACCGACGGGTGCTTTGTGTTGCTATTGCAGGGAATGATGTCGGATACTGTCAACGATTTCCTCTTCGACGGCGACCACGTCAACATGTCGCCGAGACGGAGTGATTTTGTTCAACGCCTTGTTGGTAAGGATCAGGTTCGGTTATTTTTTTTGTTCATTTGGTTGTGCGATGTGAGTTACTCACTGCCGCTTGTGTATACACTTCGCACAGCTCATGCAGGTTTCACAGCAGGCAGCGACGAGGCTACGAGGCTGGTGGCGCACATGAAAGACAAAGACATCAGAAAAAAGACGGAGAAGCGGTTCAACAACCGCATTGGCAAGATCTACGGCGGCTGCAGGAGGAGCTTGCGACTGATACGGGGCGTGCGGCTGTTCGTGATTAAGCGTGCGCCAAACGGGACCATTCGAGCAGTGGAGCCAGACGACTTCGCCACCCGCTGCCATAGTTACGTGGGTGTGTACGGCAGCAGTAAGTGTTTACTAGTGTGCTAATGCCTACCCTGCTTGTTGCTCTGTTTCCTGGTCTTCAAAACCGTGTGACATCTTAAAACAACCAGCAATACTCTGTGTCACTGTTTCCGTTTTCTGTCTTTGTGTTTCTATCACAGGGATGAAGGGCATAGAGTGGCACCTGCTTAACGGCCACCCTTTTTCCAGCCCAGCATTCATGGCATGTGCGCGCCTTTTTGTGACACAAGATGACCCAGACCGCCCCCTTGGGATCTATGCGTCACAGCTCCTCCTCATTCTGGCTGTCGTAAGTGTTATCTGATCTGTAATGCAAACGTTTCTATTGGATGTGCGATCTTACAGGCTTGTGTTGTGTTGTCCCTTGAGTGCAGGTTCGTTTTAAGCTTCGTCACCCCACTTGCAACAAGCTTCAGCTTGGTCGCTCTGGTGACACTCTCGCCATCTCCAGGCAAGCGCGCATTGTGCAGCGCTATATCAACAGCATGGGCCGGACTGACGGCGAGTACGTAGGCATAGGGCGGATCTGTATCGCGCAGTGGGTGACCATCCCCCAGGAGGTTCTGGATGCGGATGTACTGGGGGATGAGGATGCGGAGGATGAGTTTGATGATGATGAGGTGGTAGATGAGGATGCTGATGATGAATATTGAATGCTAGATTTTGTATGCATTGCGATTTCATTATTGCAGGTGTTATTTCTGTGCATGTTATATAAAACAAAAATCTAAAATAGCACTGTTTAGGTACCCAGAACGCATTTATAACCGTACGTGCAGTATTCAAAATATAAAATGTTACGGGTCTAGGTGTACTTTGGTAACACGGTTACATTCACTGAGTAACCCGTGAGCTACAGTATCGCCGTTTCTGTCGCGGAGTGATCCGTTGTTAACAAACTTGATTTTGCGTACACCCACAATGTTTTATCGATGTTATTTCTAATTATGTTAATTGGGGTGCTATGCGAAATTGTCGAGTCCCTCTATGGGGAGTAGTCACCCTTCGGTTCATTCACAAATATATTGCAACAATCCGGAAAAGTGGACCGAGAAAAAAAAACGTACCGACCCCCTATCACGCATTTGGCTATGTACATTTCTTGCGCGCTTTGGAAAATGGCGAGTTCGATTGTGGTGCGAAACCTGGGGTTGGGAATGATGCCGCGTGGACTGTCGAAATCAACCTGCATGTGACACGCTGTAAGTGTGTATTGCAATACGCCAATCCCAGGCATCGCGAAAAAATCCCCAGCGATGCCCATCAAACATCAAGCCACTGGATGGCATCTTGTTTGACACACAGGTATAGGTTCCGATGCGGCCACCAAGTTCGATGACGACTAATACGCTGAAACCGTTAAAAAGCTGAGACCTTTCGAACGGAAAGGGTGACCCTACCCGTTACTTTTGAGGCGCCTCGAACCAGTTGTCCAGGGAGAGACGACCGTGAATTCGAGGAAAGCGACGCGGCGCGCGTTTCACGCGAGTGCATACAATGTAGATTTGAGGATTGAGTAATGCTGGACTCGAATCATGCTGGAATCGAGTCGCGCTGGATTTGGGAATCAAGTGACGGTGATGAGATCACGCTCTGGGACGTAAGGAGCTTAGTAATGCGGTCACGCTCCCTGGTCGAATAACATTGAGGACGCGTCACAATTGAAATACCGAGGAAGGATCGGGGCTGTTCACCGACCCTGCCAAATCGATCGCCACATCGGTGTGCCATGACTGTATATTTGCAATCGCGGGCCCACCGCGATTCTCAAGGGACACGTTTGAAAAAACTGGAGCAAAATCGCCCGATCTGGACGAAATTGTACGATCGATGTGTGGCATGGGCACATCGATCGCGTGACTCCGAGGGGACAACTGTACATTGGCGACAGATAACGAATCCAAGTAACCACCATTTCGCAACTTAACGAAGCTCTGTACCCGCGAAACACTGATCCTGCGCAGGATCGATGTTTCAATTGTGACGCGTCCTTAGATCTCATGCTTTATCACGTGCAAACGTTATCACATGTTCCCCAAAAGACAATCACTCGTTATCACCACTTGTCGTTCATTGCCTTTTCCCTTATTCCGTTTGTAACTCTCTTTATGAATGCCTCGATCAGTGAATGGTTAGTGGAACTCGCTTCTTGTGGTAACCTTCTGTGCTGTGTGCTGTATTTGATTCGCGTAGTAATTTCGCATGTTTTCGTTCTCGCTCAAGGTGGGAGGTTGCTGCATCCTGATTGGCGCATCCCAAGGACCAAACTTCAAGAACGACACCGGGGTAGTGGGCGGGGATGTGGGGGGGCGAGGGTGGGGGTGGCGGGGGGGGGATGCGCCCAAATGTGACGGGCGCAATTTTAGTGAGGCGCAAATTTCAATGTGGCCCAAACGTGAATGCGCTTCTTCTTCCTGCATTTAGGAAGCGCGCATGTCTGCTCTCCTGATCTTAGATTCTATCTTCCGTGAAACGCGCTTTCAAAGTTTGTGTTTGGACGTATCATCGAGTCGACCGTCTTCAGAAGTTCAGCTTTCGACTTGGAACGGTTACCGACGCGACTCGTTACGATGCCGTCATCGCTTCGTATACGCGATAGAAGCCGCGAGGTGGCGAACAAAGTCGCAAGCTGTGAGTGAGAAAATTTACGCATGTCGCAAGCTGTGAGTGAGAAAATTTACCACGCATAAAATCCGACGAAGACGTTTTCCATGAGTCATTGCGTCGCATGTCTAAGTCGCACAACTTGCTTGTCTCAGTATGTTCCTGTAAAGTAGTGGCGAATGGTAAGAAGGACAATCCCGATGTGTTCTGCGATAACAGGGGACGTGGTGACGAAAGCCGTGGACCGCGCCTTCCTGGAACTTGCGGAGCTGGACGGCAAGAAGGACGAGGAGGGGCGGCCGGTGATCAACGTGCCGGAGCTATACACCGGCGTGCTGCTTGTGTACAAGTGAGTGGGTCGTTCAGGCGTCTTGAAAACATTCCGTGCTTCTGTGTGTACAAGTGAGTGCGCCATGACCTGTCCTGCCACGATCAACGTGCCCGAGCTATACACGGGCGTGCTGCTCGTGTACAAGTGAGTGCGTCATTCAGGCGCCTCGAAAACATTCCGTGCTGCTGTGTGTACAAGTGAGTGCGCCATGACCTGTCCTGCCATGATCAACGTGCCGGAGCTATACACGGGCGTGCTGCTCGTGTGCAAGTGAGTGCGTCGTCAAGGCGCCTCGAATACGTCGCGTGCTGCACTTTGTACTAATGAGTGCGCGACCTGTCCAGCGTGCTGCTCGTGTACAAGTGAGTGGGTCATTTAGGCGCCTCGGAAACGCCTGTGCAAGTAAATGCGCCGTGACCTGTCCTGTATGAACCTCCTAAACGTCTCCAGAGATTTTCATTTCCAACCCATGAGCCTCCTTTCCCTCTTCCCCCTCCCACCCACACCACCCCCGTCTCCTCCCCCCCTTCCCCCCACACAACTTTCCTCAACCCGACACACTCGTCCCTTTCCACATAACTTCTCCACTCTTCGATGCATTGCGCCTCCACCTCGCCCCCTCTCACTCTCTGTTTTTCACTCCAGTTACGTGAACCGCTACTCTCCAGGGAGTTACCTCAGCCCACCAAAGAAGAAGGACGTTCTCAAGCTGGTCAAGGTATGCTTCTCTGCTTTCGCCTGTTTTCATTCGCCATTGTTAATTTATTGGTTTGAAAGGTTGCTTCGTCACCATGGCACTTTGCCAGCATCTGTGACTCCCCTCATGTGCTTGACCAGCCATTCCATGGTGATACTGGTTCAGCTCTGCTTGGGTTGTTTCTTAACGCGAACATTTGCATTCCCCCGTCGTGCCCCTCGTCTCGAGCAGAAATTCGATCTCAACAATGATGGGGTCATCGACCGGGAGGAGTTCGGTCGGCTCCTCCGGCACTTTGTTAAGCATCTTCTGAGAAACATGATCATCAACATTCTCGTCATGCTCACCGTGATCCCGTTCCTATGCTACTTCACATGCAAGGCCATGGGTAGGTTCGTTCCTGAATCCCTCCTGGCCACCATTTTTACATCACTGTTTAAAATGTCGGGCATATGGAACAGGACAGGTGTGTGAGCCTCTCAGTTACAACAATGGGACTTGGGTTTTGGGTGATTGAACTTATATGGACTGCATTGATGAGTGGGCTAGGCCGATAAGGTTGCTGCCTGTGTGTGGAATTGTGTGTATATACGAACTGACTGCATTATGTCTAGGAATGTGAACAGAGAAGTTGAATGGCCTACAATACTGGCAAATACATGCTGATTTCTTGAAGATGTGTGCACACATTGTTCACATTCATGGCGCTGTTCTGTAGGCGTTAAATTTTCAAAAAACTGGGTCCGCAGAATCTTCGTTGATAATCGGTCTTCTGCCTATCAAGGTTTGGTGATAAGAAAGGTCCTGCCGAACCTGTTTGCGCCAAATTTAACGCTTCAACCTGCAGAACGCCACTTTTGGGGCGCACGAATTTAACCGTCTGCAGGTTCGAAGTTGTTGCTTCGCCGGGCAAATGGTCGCACAACTAGTGCGGTGCTAATTCTACATCGGGAGCTAGCATCAGCCTCCGCACATGTTATGCGAGGCAGCAACATCCGCGCAACGCAACCAGCATGAATGCGCCTAGAAAATGCACGGAAGGCTACGGCGGTCAAATTGGTGCGGAACCCTAAACGCCTGCAGAACAACGCCCATGTGAATCACCAGTGATTTCATTCTGAGTTCCCTAATGGAAATTTCAATAGGGATTCAGCATGCACCATTTCACGGACAGCACATTTCGCCTCACTCCACCCAGAGGGGCCAACTGATTGCCGATTCCGGATGTCCAGCAGCGACGCTGATTGGAGGATGCTTGGGCTCAGGCGTTTGCGACTGAGTTACAGCGTCGCAACAAGCACACGTTTGTCTTCGCGAGAGCGCGAATCCCCTTCGCCAGCTCGTCAACACACATCGACAATGCTTTCCCAGTGGGCCGAAATGAGGAGCGGCGCGACAGAACGGAGCTGCAATCCCAATCTCAGGCAGAATCGCCTTGTCTCCAAAATTTGGCTGGAAAGATGACTCCGTTTCGTGAAGATGTGACGTGACTGAGGCGAGAAGTTCTCCTCTGATGCAACGGCGTGCATTTCTCGTCACTACAGAGAAGTAAATTACCTTATGTCGTTCGTGCTATCACCCGAGACCAACCCACCTGCAAATTAGCGGACCAGCGGCATGTCCGTACAGACAACCAAGGTATCTTTGTACTTTAGCGCATCTCACGGGCATAGCAGAAATTTGCAATCGCGTCGGAGTTACTCACTTGACGCAGTAGTACTATGGCTAGAAAATACGAGGGTTGGAGAATATTATTAGTCGCTCTGCTTCTCCTGCAAAGTTCTTTAGCCGCGAACCTCCCCGCGAACGGGTGTCACGTCCAGGCCGTGTGCTCCCGACTCAACACCTTTCGCGATGTGACAATAACGGAAAGAAACTTCACGGACTTCGCTCTGATTGGACAATTTAGAGGCCGATTCAACAGTCAGGGCGGAAAATACAAGGCGCATGAAGCGGGATCAGGCCCGCTAAATCTCGAAGTCTATCAGGTGCGGAGCGAGTCGCTTTCTTTCGCGCACTGAGTTGTGGCGGTGCAACGACTTCCATGATAAGAATTATTAGTAGCAGTTCGAGAAGAATTAAGCACACGCTCGTGTTAGCAGCTCATGGTGTCCTGCCTCGTTTGCGGCTGCATCATTCTTTAGAGTTCCGACCACTGAAGTCGTTTTACTTCGCGTTTTCAATTCTGCAATGAATTCACTGGTGTGTGACAGGAGGTTGGTAACCACGTGGACATCGTGCGAGGCGACAGCGGAGGCACGCTGGAGAGCTGTTGCAGAGCATGCGCGGGCGACAAGGCCTGCCACGCCTACCACTTCTTCCCGAGCAAACGGCTAGCCGACAATGCCAACGTGCGGGGTTTCATTGACGGCGTGCAGTGCTACCTTCTGGAGAAAAACGCGGGGTCGGGCCGGACAGCGGGGTTGAGACATCCTTATAGCGGGGATGAAAGAGAGCAGGATGCTATGGCCGCATACTACCCGCTCAGCTGGTATGTACCCCTGGAAAAGCTTATCCGACTTTCACCTGGCGCTGCATGTGCTCGCATAGCTGGCAATTCTGCGGCATACAAGGTGTGCTGAACGGTGGATGTGCTGGAGGAGGTATTGTATAGTGCGTGCCTTTACTAGGTATATTTTACCGTATTTGTCGAAACTGCTTTATTTAATATTAGTATAAGGGTGGCTGTCTTAGGTGCATGTGGTGGGGCCATAATGCCTCCACACAATTGCCAAGCATTTCTCCATCCTCTTCCGCCATGACCCCTGGCAGGGTGGGAGGCTCATGCGACACGTCCCGCCTGGATAACACCGACCCGCGCATCACAGGCGCGCACGGGACCCTCTTTGACTTCCCCGGGCAGCTCGGAAAATCTTTCTGCTTGCTCGCCGACCGTCGGATCCACATCAACGTGCTGCTGCAGAGCCACCAGGGACCGGAGTCTGCTGCAGCGGCGGCGTTAGCAGCAGCAGGCATGCCGAGGAGGGTGGCAGAGGGAAGCCTGCATGTGTGGGTGAAGGAGGTGGGAGTGGTGTGGGTGTCATCTGGCGGCAAGCAGCACTCGCTGCGCATGGTGGCACGCACAGGCAACCAGCAGGACAGGGGCGCCCACGGCTTCCTCGCTCTCATGCAGGTGGACGGCGCTGACGTGGCACCGCCACGCTTCCATGATGACCTGGCAGTGGTGGGAGCGGATGGAAGTGTGGAGATACGGAAGACGGCAGAGGAAGAAGATGGGCCTTTTGACGTGGACACGTATGAAGTTGTGTTGGAAGGGATGGGGAGGGTGCATGTGAGCATGAGGGTGGCTCACCCTTTGCTACAAACGCCAGAGGAAGCTGAGGCCCATTTCAACATCCGGGTAGCTGAACTCCAGGTAAGAGAGGTGGTGCATTTCAATATCAAGTTTAGCGTGGATCCGTGTGAGCTGCTGGATGGTTCATTTGTGCCGGTTCTAGCACATGACCTGACTGACTCCCTTGTTTTGCGCTTCTTATTCCTTGTGCAGCCCAGCTCAGCTGTCCAAGGGGTGCTGAGTCAACCTCCTACTGGAAGGAACCTTGACAACCTTGGGAGCCATGGTACTTTGACGTACACTCATCTGTCGGATCTGCTTCACCACCCAATACTCGATATAAGAGACTCTGGGCAGCCATCCACCACGCACAGGACTGCACTCCACTATGTGACCCCCTCAATTTTGAGTACAAGTTGCAGCATTGGAGCTCTGTAAGCTGGCTCTCCACTAACTCTCTACTGACACCAGGCTAGATGCAGGCCTATAAATAAAGCCCAATAAACAGCATCCCTGTAGCACCAGGCCAGGGCCATTTTGCTGCTATGAAGGAGCCGATTAGAGGTACTGTGAGCATCGCACCAGGCTGAATGGCATCATGTAGGCTGTTTTAGTCTAGTAATACAGGCCAAAGTTTTCAGGTTGTACAGAACTAGCCTTATATACCATTAGAAGGTGAACACAGTAGAGGTTATTCCAACAAAAACCGCTTGAATAGTCCATACGTGAACGCCACCCCCATTGCCAGTCTTTTCCAAATAAAAATGTTGCTACCAGCTTTTGGATGCTACCCTTCAACTGTAGAGAATGTTGCACTTATTTGTGTTTTTCCGTGCCATTATTTCCCCTCCCCTAACGACCCCTCTAACTCACTACTCCTAGCTCAGCGCACAAAGTGTTGACAATAGAAGAAAACCACAGCCACAGCTGCAATGCCTGCTCACACACAGGAATCACTGCTTGCTTCGGTGCATATACACAGCCACACCCACACTCACAGCTGCCACCGCTGTTACCGCCAGCATTGAAACTGTGTATGCCCACATTGCATTGTCCCAACTCGATGCCGCCGCACCTTCTTCCGAACCTGCACCAAAGGCTCGGGACCGGGCCGGAGAGGCAGGCCCGGTGGATTTCCGCGGCGTGGACGGGCGAGGTGGGGCGGAAAGGTTGGTGCGACGAGAGCCGTTGATTTGCGATGGTGTGCGCTGGTGATGTGGCGTGCGAAGCGTTCCGCGTTGCGACCCATGTTGCGACCCGTGTTGCGACCCGTGTTGCGATCCATGCATGGAATGGGAGTCTGGGTCCTCATCATCGTGGAACTCAAGATGCAGCTTCAAACCCTGGGGGCGAGGAATAAAGGGGGCGGGTGGGGGGGGGGGGGGGGGGGGGGGGGGGGGGGGGGGGGGGGGGGGGGGGCGGGAGTGGGGAGAAGGAAGGGGCCAAAGTGGTGAGCAGCAGTTGGGGTTTAGTGTGCCGCAGCGAGGAGGGAGCAAGGGAAAGGGCATCAACAGAGAGCAGCCACAAGAGCAGGAGCAAGAGCAGAGGAGTGGGTAAGGCAAGGGGTCACAGTACCTTGATGCCAGTGGCCTTGGCGAACTTGACAGCCGCGTGCAGATCCTCATCAGTGGATATGACCACCATGTCATTGTCCTCGTCCGCGTACTGGCGCATGGGGGGATGGAGGCGAGATGATGGGGGTAAGAGGGGCGAGTGAAATGGGTAAAAAAGGTGCATGTAAAACGGAAGATCCTCATCCGTGGATATGACCACCATGTCACTGTCCTCGTCCGCGTACTGGCACATGGGGATTGGGGCAATGGAGGGGATGTTGATGGGGTGAGTAGGTAAGGTAACAGGTGCATGTGAGATGGAGGGTTCTCGTCCGCGTACTGGCGTTTTGGGGTGAAGGGGCAGGTGTATGGGGTGATGGGGTTGCATTGAGCAACAGGATACTGGAGCGCATAAGTTGACAGCCGCAAGCAGGTCCTCATCAGTGAATATGACCACCATGTCATTATCTTCATCCGCATACTGGCCTAAAGGAAAGGGGAGGGGATGCCTGGAGGTGAGGGGGATGAGTAAAATGAGACAGACCGACCGTGGGTTGCTGGTGTGACAGCCCTTCAACCGGAGGTGACCAGGGGTGACCAGAGGTGAAAAGGGGTGATCAGGGGTGCCCAGGAGTGACCAGGGGTCACCAGAGAGAAAGATGATAGACTCACGAGGATGGAGGGTGGGTTGTCAGGGTCTTAATCCCCCCCCAGCCTCGACGCCACGGCACACACCAGCTCTGTCGTGCTCTTGAGAGTTCTTGACCGCAAGTGAGTGAGTGACTCACCAGAATGGAGGGCGGGTTGTCGGGGTCATAGTCGCCCCCCAGTCTCGACGCCACGGCACACACGAGCTCCGTCATGCTCTCACTGCCCGCTGTGAACCGGTGCACCCGCCCCCTCCTGTCCTCCAGCTTGAACGAAAACAGATCCTCCACCGGCCCTCCCACCATCGCTCCTCCCAACGCTCCTCCCATGCCGGCCCCCATTCCTGCCCCTGCCCCTCCTGCTCCGCCTGCGGCAGCACCAGCAGGAACACCTGCCCCCCCTGCTCCGCCTGCTGCTTGTGTGCCGCCTCTCCTCCTGCTGCCTGAGGGGCGCACCTGGTCCGACATGTCACTGCTGCGCACACTGGGAAGGAGGAGGAGAGAAGGGAGGAGGGAGAGGGGGAAGACGAGGAGGAGAACAGTGGGGGCTAGCGGTGCTCCTGCCAACGTGCCGCCACCTCTCCCCCTGCTGCCTGAGGCGCGCACCTGGTCTGACATGTCACTGCTGCGTACACTGTGGAGGTGGGAGAGGGGGAGAGGGGGAGAGGGGGAGAAAGCGAGGAAATAGAGAGGGTGGAGGGGAGACGACGAACTTATTCAGGGGCGCACCTGATCTGCCATGTCACTGCTGCGCACCCTGGGAAGGCAGAGAACAGGGAGGAGGGGGAGGGGTAAGTAGAAGAGAGGGTAGGGGGGGGGAGACGATGAACTACGTAGGGGCGCACCTGGTCTGCCATGTCACTGCTGCGCACACTGTGGAGATGGGGGAAAGAGGGCGGGCAAGGAGTAGGGGGACAAGGACTTGAAGAGATGCACGAGGTCCGGCTTATCACTGCTGCACACACTGGGAGAACAGAGTGCAGGACGGCGGTTTAGGCATATAGAGCTCAGAAATGAATGAAGCAGCCTCAACTCCCGCAAGTCCTACCTCCCCCAAGTCCGACCTCCCTCAAATCCAACCTGCCCCAATTCCCACCTGGCGGTGTCTTCCTCGGTGTCAGCAGGTGGCAGCGCAAGTGCCGAGTCCCAAAACCGCTGCATGAGTTGCCCCATGGCGTCCCCACTCTCCGATCCCGATGCTGCCTGTGTGGGACAGGGGAGGGGCGGGGCAATGCGAGATGGAGCATGGGGCATGGGGCACGAAGCATGGGCCTAGAGGCACCGGAGCAGAGAAAGACAGCAGGGCGAGGGCGGAGTCCCAGAACCGCTGCATGAGCTGCCCCATAGCGTCGCCACTCTCCGACCCCGATGCCGCCTGTGAAGTTCAGGGAACAGGAATAAGAAGCACTGACAGGGGGTGGGCAGGGGGAGGGGAAGGGACAGGGGAGTGGGGCAAGGAGCAGGGCGGGCAAGGGAAGGTATCAGGGCGAGGGAAGAGTCCCAAAACGGCTGCATGAGCTGCCCCAAGGCTTCACTGCTCTCCGAACCCGATGCTGCCTGAGAGGTTGAGGGAACAGAAATGGGAAGCAGGATTGGGATACAGGAATATGAAACAGGATGGGAAACAGGAACGGGAAGCAGGAACGGGAAGCAGGAACGGGAAGCAGGAACGGGAAGCAGGAATGGGAAGCAGGAACGGGAAGCAGGAACGGGAAGCAGGAACGGGAAGCAGGAACGGGAAGCAGGAACGGGAAGCAGGAACGGGAAGCAGGAACGGGAAGCAGGAACAGGAAGCAGGGACGGGAAAATGGTATGGGGAAAGAGGCATTGAGAAAGGGGAGTGGGGCATGGGGAATGGTGCATGGGGAATGGTGCATGGGGGAAAGGAAGCCACTAGTGAAGGGAAGGTATGGGGCAGGGGAAGGCATAAGCAAGGCATGAATGAAGCTTGAGCGAGTCTTACAGCAGCAGAGGACATGGCGCCTTGAGTGAGCTGAAGCACGTCCACACATGCCACACAGTTGCCGTCTGCTCCCATGCCATCCATGCATGCCACGATGTCACCACCCATGCCAGCATGCCAGCATGGCAGCATGGCACCATTCATGCCGACGCAACACCATCCGCCGCCATGCCAAGCGGACATACGACATGCACGCAGACACGGCAAGGGGGAAGAGGCAAGAGCACGGAGGTGCTGGTGAGCCATGATCGCAGTGGGAGGGGATGATGCCTTGGTGGTGGTGGTGGAGCTGAAACAGGTGCAGGCAAGGCAAGTGATGTGGGTCCACCAGTTGCAGTGCAGGACAGAGCCATCACATCGTGCTTGGAGTGGAGCGGAGTGGAGTGGAGTGGAGTGGAGCGGAGTGGAGTGGAGTGGAGTGGAGCGGAGTGGAGCGGAGTGGAGCGGAGTGGAGTGGAGTGGAGTGGAGTGGAGCGGAGTGGAGTGGAGCGGTAGATGTGCTCAATCAATCTCACCAGGGTCGACAACGGGGAGGTGCAGGAACCTGCCGTCGTGCATGGTGTGAAGGGCGTCCACCACTGGCGTGCTCTCACCTTGTGTTGCCTCTTACAGAAAGGGGCTATGAGGTGCGTGGACAACTGACCAAGGTCAGACACTCACCTGGGTCGACGACAGGCAGGTGCAGGAACCTGCCATCATGCATGGTGTGAAGGGCGTCCACCACTGGCGTGCTCTCACCTTGTGTTGCCTCTTACAGAAAGGGGCTATGAGGTGCGTGGACAACTGACCAAGGTCAGACACTCACCTGGGTCGACGACAGGCAGGTGCAGGAACCTGCCATCATGCATGGTGTGAAGGGCGTCCACCACTGGCGTGCTCTCACCTTGTGTTGCCTCTTACAGAAAGGGGCTATGAGGTGCGTGGACAACTGACCAAGGTCAGACACTCACCTGGGTCGACGACAGGCAGGTGCAGGAACCTGCCATCATGCATGGTGTGAAGGGCGTCCACCACTGGCGTGCTCTCACCTTGTGTTGCCTCTTACAGAAAGGGGCTATGAGGTGCGTGGACAACTGACCAAGGTCAGACACTCACCTGGGTCGACGACAGGCAGGTGCAGGAACCTGCCATCATGCATGGTGTGAAGGGCGTCCACCACTGGCGTGCTCAGCAGCACACACTCTGGGTTCGGCGTCATCACCTGCAGTGCAGTGTGGTGCGCAGGGGTGCAATAAGGTACGGAACGGTGCAGTGCGGTGACATGAGGACACACAATGAGACGCCTCCCGCTTCCCCACTTCCACCCGTCTCCTCCCCTCTGCACCCCCTGCTCTTCCTCTTTTCCCCTTCTGCTTCCCACGCCCTCTTCTCTAAGCGTCGGTTGCTTGCATTGTCCACAAGATGGAGTGAGGTCCAGGTTGAGTGCGGGCACTTCAAAAATAATGAGGAGTTGTATTTTTCTTGCTTGTGGATTGAAGGGAAGAAGGAAAGTGCTTGCCTTGTCAACGAGCGTGGTGTCTGGATGCAGGTTGAGTGCTAGCACCCGCGTGAGAATGTCCTTGGACCTGAGGGGCGTGGGGGGAGGGAGGTGTATGGGGGAAGGGGCATGAGAAAGGGGAATGGGGCGAGGGGGCATGAGAGAGGGTCATGGGGCGAGGCACAGGGAGAGGTACGTGTGGATGCAGGTTGAGTGCGAGCACCCGCGTGAGAATGCCCTTGGACCTGAGGGGCGTTAAGGAGACACGGGGGGAAGGGGCATGGGAGAGCGGCAAGGGGCGAGGGGCGTGGGGGGAGGGAGGCGTCTGGAGGTGAGAGGCGTTTTTTGAGGCGCCTCAAAACACACCTCACTGCAAGCGGCAAGGGCGAGGGGCGTGGGGGGAGGGAGGCGTCTGGAGGTGAGAGGCGTGAGGGGCATGGAGGAGGAGAATGGAGGTTAGGGGCATGGGGGAGGGGCATGAGGGAGAGGCATGCGGAGGGGCCAAGGCAACATCCACCCAGTGCCAGCTAGTACGGGCAACGCATACTACAATCGGGCAACACCTGTTCAAAACACACGTGAGACGCAGCACGTTTGCAGTGGAATATACAATCCACAAAACTCCACCTTGTCAAGGCAACAGTTTCCCACCATGCCCAGCAACGCCCAGCCACGCCCAGGAACGCACGTGAGGATGCCACAGGGGCGGTTGTTGACGCCGTTGGTGACAATCACAGAGCTCACTCGGCTCTCCCTCATCCTCCGCGCTGCTGTGCGCACCAGATCCGTCTTCAGCACTGTAGCTAGCCTGCCAGGCATGCATGGGATGGGAGGGGACCGTGAGTGAGGGAGTGAGGGGCAAAGGGCCTTGTCAAGCAAGTCACTCCGCTCTCCCGCATCCTCCTCGCTGCCGTGCGCACCAGATCCGTCTTGAGTACCGTGGCCAGCCTGGAAGGCATGCATGGGATGGGACAGTGAGTGAGGGAGTGAGTGCTTGGGTGCGTGAGTGAGTGAGTGAGTGAGTGAGTGAGTGAGTGAGTGAGTGAGTAAGTGAGTGAGTGAGTGAGTCAGTGAGTGAGTGTGTGATGGGCGAAAGGGCTTTGCCAGGGTGTAGGGTTTAAGGTTCCTGGGTTCCTCCCCCAGAACTGTCGCAAGTGTCGGTCGGTCGGAACACCTTGACTTTTCAGCCGACTCACAACACAAGTCACCTCGTGGCAACGGCAACGGCATTGTAAGCAGGCGGGTGGCTGCACTCACCTGGGTTCTTCCCCCAGCACAGTGGCAAGTGTGGGCCGGAACACCTTGTCTGTCCAGTGGGAATGGCATCACAAGCAGGGGAGGTGGAGGGCGCACCTGGGTTCTTCCGCCAGCACAGTGGCAAGTGTGGGTCGGAACACCTTGTCCCGAAACGTCTCCACAAAACCCATGGCTGCTCGCAGTTGGAAGGAGGAGGGAAAGGGGGAGGGAGCAGAGGAAAAGAGATGGAAAATGTGAGACAAGGAGCCGAAGGCGGAAGTTGGCTTTTGAAACTTCTGAGAGGAGTTGGCTAGAGAAGAATGTGGGGAAGGGGGCTTAGAAAGATACACTCACTCGATACGACTTTTTGATTTTCTAATGTAATCTACCACCCACCGGCGTTGCCCCCCCATTGCCTCTCCACGCCCTCCATGGCAGCAGCGAGCGCGTCGCCCCTCTCTGCAGCGCGCTCCATCTTGGCAATGGCGTCGTACAGACACTTTGTTATGTCCAGTAGGGCCACCACCTCGCCCTCCTCTATCACCGGCAGGTGGCGAAACCTCCCTGTGTGGGGTGGCAATGGATTGTGAAAGCATGTGAGATCACCTTGAACCCTGTGTAATGCCCAAGAGGGCCACGAGTTACATCTCACTCCCCTGCACTATGCCTGCCATCTCACCCTCTGCCATCTCACATTTCATTACACCTCACCATGCTTCACCACGCGTTACATCTCAAGCTGCAGCACCAAGCGTTACATCTCACCCTGCCCCACGCGTTACATCTCATCTCACCCTGCACCATGCGTTGCAGTGCGTCCACAGCAGAGGAGTCAATAGTAACGAAGGTGGGGTTCTTGGTCATCACAGCCGATGCTAGTGTGCTGTTCACATCCAGGCCCTCTCCCACACACTTCAACGCAAGGTCCTGCAAGCAGACAGAGCAGAGGGAGAGCGAGGGTGTGGGGGAGAACGCGTCAACAGTGACGAAGGTGGGGTTCTTGGTCATAACAGTAGCGCGCGCGCCCGGACCAAGTCGCGCGCCTGGACCAACGAGCGCGCCCGGACCAACGAGCGCGCCCGGACCAACGCGCGCGCCCGGACCAACGCGCGCGCCCGGACCAACACGCGCGCCCGGACCAGGGCGCGCGCCCGGACCAACGCGCGCGCCCGGACCAACGCGCGCGCCCGGACCAACGCGCGCGCCCGGACCAACGCGCGCGCCCGGACCAACGCGCGCGCCCGGACCAACGCGCGCGCCCGGACCAACGCGCGCGCCCGGACCAACGCGCGCGCCCGGACCAAGGCGCGCGCCCGGACCAAGGCGCGCGCCCGGACCAGCGCGCGCGCCCGGACCAAGGCGCGCGCCCGGACCAAGGCGCGCGCCCGGACCAAGGCGCGCGCCCGGACCAAGGCGCGCGCCCGGACCAAGGCGCGCGCCCGGACCAAGGCGCGCGCCCGGACCAAGGCGCGCGCCCGGACCAAGGCGCGCGCCCGGACCAGGGCGCGCGCCCGGACCAGGGCGCGCGCCCGGACCAGGGCGCGCGCCCGGACCAGCGCGCGCCCGGACCAACGCGCGCCCGGACCAGGGCGCGCGCCCGGACCAACGCGCGCGCCCGGACCAACGCGCGCGCCCGGACCAAGGCGCGCGCCCGGACCAAGGCGCGCGCCCGGACCAACGCGCGCGCCCGGACCAACGCGCACGCCCGGACCAACGCGCGCGCCCGGACCAAGGCGCGCGCCCGGACCAACGCGCGCGCCCGGACCAAGGCGCGCGCCCGGACCAAGGCGCGCGCCCGGACCAAGGCGCGCGCCCGGACCAAGGCGCGCGCCCGGACCAAGGCGCGCGCCCGGACCAAGGCGCGCGCCCGGACCAACGCGCGCGCCCGGACCAACGCGCGCGCCCGGACCAACGCGCGCGCCCGGACCAACGCGCGCGCCCGGACCAACGCGCGCGCCCGGAACAACGCGCGCGCCCGGACCAACGCGCGCGCCCGGACCAACGCGCGCGCCCGGACCAACGCGCGCGCCCGGACCAACGCGCGCGCCCGGACCAACGCGCGCGCCCGGACCAACGCGCGCGCCCGGACCAACGCGCGCGCCCGGACCAACGCGCGCGCCCGGACCAACGCGCGCGCCCGGACCAAGGCGCGCGCCCGGACCAAGGCGCGCGCCCGGACCAAGGCGCGCGCCCGGACCAAGGCGCGCGCCCGGACCAACGCGCGCGCCCGGACCAACGCGCGCGCCCGGACCAACGCGCGCGCCCGGACCAACGCGCGCGCCCGGACCAACGCGCGCGCCCGGACCAAGGCGCGCGCCCGGACCAAGGCGCGCGCCCGGACCAAGGCGCGCGCCCGGACCAAGGCGCGCGCCCGGACCAAGGCGCGCGCCCGGACCAAGGCGCGCGCCCGGACCAAGGCGCGCGCCCGGACCAAGGCGCGCGCCCGGACCAAGGCGCGCGCCCGGACCAAGGCGCGCGCCCGGACCAACGCGCGCGCCCGGAACAACGCGCGCGCCCGGAACAACGCGCGCGCCCGGAACAACGCGCGCGCCCGGACCAACGCGCGCGCCCGGACCAACGCGCGCGCCCGGACCAACGCGCGCGCCCGGACCAACGCGCGCGCCCGGACCAACGCGCGCGCCCGGACCAACGCGCGCGCCCGGACCAACGCGCGCGCCCGGACCAAGGCGCGCGCCCGGACCAAGGCGCGCGCCCGGACCAAGGCGCGCGCCCGGACCAAGGCGCGCGCCCGGACCAACGCGCGCGCCCGGACCAACGCGCGCGCCCGGACCAACGCGCGCGCCCGGACCAACGCGCGCGCCCGGACCACGCGCGCGCCCGGACCAAGGCGCGCGCCCGGACCAAGGCGCGCGCCCGGACCAAGGCGCGCGCCCGGACCAAGGCGCGCGCCCGGACCAACGCGCGCGCCCGGACCAACGCGCGCGCCTGGACCAAGTCGCGCGCCTGGACCAAGTCGCGCGCGCCTGGACCAACGCGCGCGCCTGGACCAACGCGCGCGCCTGGACCAACGCGCGCGCCTGGACCAACGCGCGCGCCTGGACCAACGCGCGCGCCAGGACCAACGCGCACGCCTGGACCAAGGCGCGCGCCTGGACCAACGCGCGCGCCAGGACCAACGCGCGCGCCTGGACCAACGCGCGCGCCTGGACCAACGCGCGCGCCTGGACCAACGCGCGCGCCTGGACCAACGCGCGCGCCAGGACCAACGCGCGCGCCTGGACCAAGGCGCGCGCCCGGACCAAGGCGCGCGCCCGGACCAAGGCGCGCGCCCGGACCAACGCGCGCGCCCGGACCAACGCGCGCGCCTGGACCAAGTCGCGCGCCTGGACCAAGTCGCGCGCCTGGACCAAGTCGCGCGCGCCTGGACCAACGCGCGCGCCTGGACCAACGCGCGCGCCTGGACCAACGCGCGCGCCTGGACCAACGCGCGCGTCTGGACCAACGCGCGCGCCAGGACCAACGCGCACGCCTGGACCAAGGCGCGCGCCTGGACCAACGCGCGCGCCTGGACCAACGCGCGCGCCTGGACCAACGCGCGCGCCTGGACCAACGCGCGCGCCTGGACCAACGCGCGCGCCTGGACCAACGCGCGCGCCTGGACCAACGCGCGCGCCTGGACCAAGTCGCGCGCCTGGACCAAGTCGCGCGCCTGGACCAAGTCGCGCGCCTGGACCAACGCGCGCGCCTGGACCAACGCGCGCGCCTGGACCAACGCGCGCGCCTGGACCAACGCGCGCGTGGACCAACGCGCGCGCCTGGACCAACGCGCGCGCCTGGACCAACGCGCGCGCCTGGACCAACGCGCGCGCCTGGACCAACGCGCGCGCCTGGACCAACGCGCGCGCCTGGACCATCGCGCGCGCCTGGACCAACGCGCGCGCCTGGACCAACGCGCGCGCCTGGACCAACGCGCGCTTGGACCAACGCGCGCCTGGACCAAGTCGCGCGCCTGGACCAAGTCGCGCGCCTGGACCAAGTCGCGCGCCTGCGCGCCTGGACCAACTCGCGCGCCTGGACCAACGCGCGCCTGGACCAAGTCGCGCGCCTGGACCAACTCGCGCGCCTGGACCAACGCGCGCCTGGACCAAGTCGCGCGCCTGGACCAAGTCGCGCGCCTGGACCAAGTCGCGCGCCTGCGCGCCTGGACCAACTCGCGCGCCTGGACCAACGCGCGCCTGGACCAAGTCGCGCGCCTGGACCAACTCGCGCGCCTGGACCAACGCGCGCCTGGACCAACGCGCGCGCCTGGACCAACGCGCGCGCCTGGACCAACGCGCGCGCCTAGACCAACGCGCGCGCCTGGACCAACGCGCGCGCCTGGACCAACGCGCGCGCCTGGACCAACGCGCGCGCCTGGACCAACGCGCGCGCCTGGACCAACGCGCGCGCCTGGACCAACGCGCGCGCCTGGACCAACGCGCGCGCCTGGACCAACGCGCGCGCCTGGACCGACGCGCGCGCCTGGACCAGCGCGTGCTCCTGGACCAAGTCGCGCGCCTGGACCAAGTCGCGCGCCTGGACCAAGTCGCGCGCCTGGACCAACGCGCGCGCCTGGACCAACGGGCGCGTCTGGACCAAGTCGCGCGCCTGGACCAAGTCGCGCGCCTGGACCAAGTCGCGCGCCTGGACCAAGTCGCGCGCCTGGACCAAGTCGCGCGCCTGGACCAACGCGCGCGCCTGGACCAACGCGCGCGCCTGGTCCAACGCGCGCGCCTGGACCAACACGCGCGCCTGGACCAACGCGCGCGCCTGGACCAACGCGCGCGCCTGGACCAACGCGCGCGCCTGGACCAAGTCGCGCGCCTGGACCAAGTCGCGCGCCTGGACCAAGTCGCGCGCCTGCGCGCCTGGACCAACTCGCGCGCCTGGACTAGGTCGCGCGACTGGACCAACGCGCGCCTGGACCAACGCGCGCGCCTGGACCAACGCGCGCCTGGACCAACGCGCGCGCCTGGACCAACGCGCGCGCCTGGACCAACGCGCGCGCCTGGACCAAGGCGCGCGCCTGGACCAACGCGCGCGCCTGGACCAACGCGCGCGCCTGGACCAACGCGCGCGCCTGGACCAATGCGCGCGCCTGGACCAACGCGCGCGCCTGGACCAACGCGCGCGCCTGGACCAACGCGCGCGCCTGGACCAACGCGCGCGCTTGGACCAACGCGCGCGCCTGGACCAACGCGCGCGCCTGTACCAACGCGCGCGCCTGGACCAACGCGCGCGCCTGGACCAACGCGCGCGCCGGGACCAACGCGCGCGCCTGGACCAAGTCGCGCGCCTGGACCAAGTCGCGCGCCTGGACCAAGTCGCGCGCCTGGACCAACGCGCGCGCCTGGACCAAGTCGAGCGCCTGGACCAAGTCGCGCGCCTGGACCAACGCGCGCGCCTGGACCAACGCGCGCGCCTGGACCAACGCGCGCGCCTGTACCAACGCGCGCGCCTGGACCAACGCGCGCGCCTGGACCAAGTCGCGCGCCTGGACCAAGTCGCGCGCCTGGACCAACGCGCGCGCCTGGACCAACGCGCGAGCCTGGACCAAGTCGCGCGCCTGGACCAACGCGCGCGCCTGGACCAAGTCGCGCGCCTGGACCAAGTCGCGCGCCAGGACCAAGTCGCGCGCCTGGACCAAGTCGCGCGCCAGGACCAACGCGCGCGCCTGGACCAAGTCGCGCGCCAGTACCAAGTCGCGCGCCTGGACCAACGCGCGCGCCTGGACCAACGCGCGCGCCTGGACCAACGCGCGCGCCTGGACCAACGCGCGCGCCTGGACCAACGCGCGCGCCTGGACCAACGCGCGCGCCTGGACCAACGCGCGCGCCTGGACCAACGCGCGCGCCTGGACCAACGCGCGCGCCTGGACCAACGCGCGCCTGGACAACCGCGCTGGACCAACGCGCGCTTGGACCAACGCGCGCCTGGACCAAGTCGCGCGCCTGGACCAAGTCGCGCGCCTGGACCAACGCGCGCGCCTGGACCAAGTCGCGCGCCTGGACCAACGCGCGCGCCTGGACCAACGCGCGCGCCAGGACCAACGCGCGCGCCTGGACCAACGCGCGCGCCTGGACCAACGCGCGCGCCTGGACCAACGCGCGCGCCTGGACCAACGCGCGCGCCTGGACCAACGCGCGCGCCTGGACCAACGCGCGCGCCTGGACCAACGCGCGCGCCTGGACCAACGCGCGCGCCGGGACCAACGCGCGCGCCTGGACCAAGTCGCGCGCCTGCGCGCCTGGACCAACTCGCGCGCCGGGACCAGGTCACGCGCCTGGACCAACGCGCGCCTGGACCAACGCGCGCGCCTGGACCAAGTCGCGCGCCTGGACCAAGGCGCGCGCCTGCGCGCCTGGACCAACTCGCGCGCCTGGATCAACGCGCGCCTGGACCAACGCGCGCGCCTGGACCAACGCGCGCGCCAGGACCAACGCGCGCGCCTGGACCAAGTCGCGCGCCTGGACCAAGTCGCGCGCCTGGACCAACGCGCGCGCCTGGACCAACGCGCGCGCCTGGATTAAGTCGCGGGCCTGGACCAAGTCGCGCGCCTGGACCAACGCGCGCGCCTGGACCAACGCGCGCGCCTGGACCAACGCGCACGCCTGGACCAAGTCGCGCGCCTGGACCAACGCGCGCGCCTGGACCAACGCGCGCGCCTGGACCAACGCGCGCGCCGGGACCAACGCGCGCGCCTGGACCAGCGCACGCGCCTGGACCAACGCGCGCGCCTTGACCAACGCGCACGCCTGGACCAACGCGCGCGCCTGGACCAACGCGCGCGCCTGGACCAACTCGCGCGCCTGGACCAACGCGCGCGCCTGGACCAACACGCGCGCCTGGACCAACGCGCGCGCCTCGACCAACGCGCGCGCCTCGACCAACGCGCGCGCCTGGACCAACGCGCGCGCCTGGACCAACGCGCGCGCCTGGACCAACGCGCGCGCCGGGACCAACGCGCGCGCCTGGACCAAGTCGCGCGCCTGGACCAAGTCGCGCGCCTGCGCGCCTGGACCAACTCGCGCGCCGGGACCAGGTCGCGCGCCTGGACCAACGCGCGCCTGGACCAACGCGCGCGCCTGGACCAAGTCGCGCGCCTGGACCAAGTCGCGCGCCTGGACCAAGGCGCGCGCCTGCGCGCTTGGACCAACTCGCGCGCCTGGACCAACGCGCGCCTGGACCAGCGCGCGCGCCTGGACCAACGCGCGCGCCTGGACCAACGCGCGCGCCTGGACCAACGCGCGCGCCTGGACCAACGCGCGCGCCTGGACCAACGCGCGCGCCTGGACCAACGCGCGCGCCAGGACCAACGCGCGCGCCTGGACCAACGCGCGCGCCTGGACCAACGCGCGCGCCTGGACCAACGCGCGCGCCCGGACCAACGCGCGCGCCCGGACCAACGCGCGCGCCCGGACCAACGCGCGCGCCCGGACCAACGCGCGCGCCCGGACCAACGCGCGCGCCCGGACCAACGCGCGCGCCCGGACCAACGCGCGCGCCCGGACCAACGCGCGCGCCCGGACCAACGCGCGCGCCCGGACCAACGCGCGCGCCCGGACCAACGCGCGCGCCCGGACCAACGCGCGCGCCCGGACCAACGCGCGCGCCCGGACCAACGCGCGCGCCTGGACCAACGCGCGCGCCTGGACCAACGCGCGCTTGGACCAACGCGCGCCTGGACCAAGTCGCGCGCCTGGACCAAGTCGCGCGCCTGGACCAACGCGCGCGCCTGGACCAAGTCGCGCGCCTGGACCAACGCGCGCGCCTGGACCAACGCGCGCGCCAGGACCAACGCGCGCGCCTGGACCAACGCGCGCGCCTGGACCAACGCGCGCGCCTGGACCAACGCGCGCGCCTGGACCAACGCGCGCGCCTGGACCAACGCGCGCGCCTGGACCAACGCGCGCGCCTGGACCAACGCGCGCGCCTGGACCAACGCGCGCGCCGGGACCAACGCGCGCGCCTGGACCAAGTCGCGCGCCTGCGCGCCTGGACCAACTCGCGCGCCGGGACCAGGTCGCGCGCCTGGACCAACGCGCGCCTGGACCAACGCGCGCGCCTGGACCAAGTCGCGCGCCTGGACCAAGTCGCGCGCCTGGACCAAGGCGCGCGCCTGCGCGCCTGGACCAACTCGCGCGCCTGGATCAACGCGCGCCTGGACCAACGCGCGCGCCTGGACCAACGCGCGCGCCTGGACCAACGCGCGCGCCTGGACCAAGTCGCGCGCCTGGACCAAGTAGCGCGCCTGGACCAACGCGCGCGCCTGGACCAACGCGCGCGCCTGGATTAAGTCGCGGGCCTGGACCAAGTCGCGCGCCTGGACCAACGCGCGCGCCTGGACCAACGCGCGCGCCTGGACCAAGTCGCACGCCTGGACCAACGCGCGCGCCTGGACCAACGCGCGCGCCTGGACCAACGCGCGCGCCCGGACCAACGCGCGCGCCTGGACCAACGCGCGCGCCTGGACCAACGCGCGCGCCTTGACCAACGCGCACGCCTGGACCAACGCGCGCGCCTGGACCAACGCGCGCGCCTGGACCAACGCGCGCGCCTGGACCAACGCGCGCGCCTCGACCAACGCGCGCGCCTGGACCAACGCGCGCGCCTCGACCAACGCGCGCGCCTCGACCAACGCGCGCGCCTGGACCAACGTGCGCGCCTGGACCAACGCGCGCGCCTGGACCAACGCGCGCGCCTGGACCAACGCGCGCGCCGGGACCAACGCGCGCGCCTGGACCAAGTCGCGCGCCTGGACCAAGTCGCGCGCCTGCGCGCCTGGACCAACTCGCGCGCCGGGACCAGGTCGCGCGCCTGGACCAACGCGCGCCTGGACCAACGCGCGCGCCTGGACCAAGTCGCGCGCCTGGACCAAGTCGCGCGCCTGGACCAAGGCGCGCGCCTGCGCGCTTGGACCAACTCGCGCGCCTGGACCAACGCGCGCCTGGACCAGCGCGCGCGCCTGGACCAACGCGCGCGCCTGGACCAACGCGCGCGCCGGGACCAACGCGCGCGCCTGGACCAACGCGCGCGCCTGGACCAACGCGCGCGCCTGGACCAACGCGCGCGCCTGGACCAACGCGCGCCCCTGGACCAACGCGCGCGCCTGGACCAACGCGCGCGCCTGGACCAACGCGCGCGCCCGGACCAACGCGCGCGCCCGGACCAACGCGCGCGCCCGGACCAACGCGCGCGCCCGGACCAACGCGCGCGCCCGGACCAACGCGCGCGCCCGGACCAACGCGCGCGCCCGGACCAACGCGCGCGCCCGGACCAACGCGCGCGCCCGGACCAACGCGCGCGCCCGGACCAACGCGCGCGCCCGGACCAACGCGCGCGCCCGGACCAACGCGCGCGCCCGGACCAACGCGCGCGCCCGGACCAACGCGCGCGCCCGGACCAATGCGCGCGCCCGGACCAACGCGCGCCCGGACCAACGCGCGCGCCCGGACCAACGCGCGCGCCCGGACCAACGCGCGCGCCCGGACCAACGCGCGCGCCCGGACCAACGCGCGCGCCCGGACCAACGCGCGCGCCCGGACCAACGCGCGCTCCCGGACCAACGCGCGCGCCCGGACCAACGCGCGCGCCCGGACCAACGCGCGCGCCCGGACCAACGCGCGCGCCCGGACCAACGCGCGCGCCCGGACCAACGCGCGCTGCCCGGACCAACGCGCGCGCCCGGACCAACGCGCGCGCCCCGGACCAACGCGCGCGCCCGGACCAACGCGCGCGCCCGGACCAACGCGCGCGCCCGGACCAACGCGCGCGCCCGGACCAACGCGCGCGCCCGGACCAACGCGCGCGCCCGGACCAACGCGCGCGCCCGGACCAACGCGCGCGCCCGGACCAACGCGCGCGCCCGGACCAACGCGCGCGCCCGGACCAACGCGCGCGCCCGGACCAACGCGCGCGCCCGGACCAACGCGCGCGCCTGGACCAACGCGCGCGCCTGGACCAGGTCGCGCGCCCGGACCAGGTCGCGCGCCCGGACCAACGCGTGCGCCCGGACCAACGCGTGCTGTTCACATCCAACCCCTCGCCCACACACTTCAACGCAAGGTCCTGCAAGCAAAGCAGAGGGAGAGAGGGAGAGGGGGATGGGGTGGGGTGGGTGACAAAGGTGGAATTCAAGGTCATCACTGCTGAGCTGACGCCAGCGTGCTGCTCACATCCAACCCTTCAACGCTAAATCCATGACACCGAGTATCCTAGAGAGCACCTGAGACTGTCCCGATCCGTCATAATGCCACTAAGGTCGCCTGTACGCGCTATAAGCTTGAGTGGCCCACCCGATCCGTCATGATGCCACAGAGCAGCGCGCTGGCGTCGGTGAGCAGGCACGCGTCCACGCGGCGGTTGGCCATTCGCCGACACGCGTCCGCCACTGTGGTGGTGTCCGGCAGCGTGAGCGCCTTGGACAGCCGCAGGCGCCGCACTGATCGCTCGCCCGCCGCCGCACTGAAGGTGGGTCGAGTGAATTGGGGGGGAGGAGAACACGCAATGAACCAGCAGTGTTCGTTCCCGAACAAGAAGGAAGTGAGTGGAAGGATCGAGCGCGGACGAGGAGGACCGTAAAAGGGCGGGGAGTCTAACGCGACAATGAGCCAAGGCGATGATGATCAGTCAGAGGAGCTTTAGCCTTTGATCGACAGAAGGCATGGATCGAACTTCGAGAGACCTATCTTCCCATTGGGATCTACGCGGGCATTACCTGGATCGCCCGTTGGAATTAAAACGATCACCCATATTTCCGTCGAGATCACCTCATTTTCTATCTAACCAATCACCGATCACCAATCAGCAATCACCAATCACCTCGATCCGCCCTTGGAAGCGCCACTCCGCCGGCTGCCGGTGGACCGCTTACTCGACTTCTTCGACGCATCGCGCGACCCGTCACCCGCTCCGCCTCCCCGCGCCGCGTTCATGGCTCACGATCCGCTACGAAACGACAAGACACCCTCGCGACGAATAAATGCCTTAAAGACGACCCGAGAAAAACCAAGGCTAAACCGTGAGGACTAATGAACAATGAGGACGCAAGTCCGTCTGTTTTTCTAATAAGAGACGAGAACTTCTCCTGAGCTTCTCCTGAGTTTCCACACGTACGTGCTTCGGACTCCCAAGGTTCGCTTTGCGGGAAAATTCGAAAGTTTGGGCTCATGTCCTTTGCTCCTCGGAGTTGGTGCGCGGGGTCTCTGTCATACTCGCCGTTAATATGCTCGATAACAATATTCAGGTTCTTGCTTACAACGCTAACTTACTATTCTCACCCAGCAATTTCGAGTTCAGTAGTCAGCTGACATTTCATTCAACAGATGTGTCGGTCGCGGCTCGCTTTTCGAGCATCCTTTGAGTTCAGCGAAAGGTCCATCGGATTCGTCAACCGCGCAGACCGCTTCGCAACTTGATCGCCGAGCCGCGACGAGGGACTACAAATTCGCTCGAATTCGCTGTGAACAATCACACTGCAAATCGCACCCCATCCTCCTCTGGGCCAGATTCAGCAGATCCATCCGCAATTCCATCTCCGCCGAGCTATTTATTTCTCGCACACCAGCAGCGCGTGAGTCTTATTTGAATCCCATCCGCATACCGTAGCTCTCCCATCAACATCAATTTTCTCCCCTGTCCGCTAGTACTCGCCATGGCTCGCGCTGCTACCATTTTCGCCGTCCTCTCTCTCCTCGCCATCGCCGCGACGGCATGCAATGTCCCACCTGGCGGGTGCCACGTCACCAAGGTGTGCAAGAAGCTCGTTAATCTCGAGAAATACAACATCACGGCGGAGAATTTCCGCAAGTACTCGCTGATTGGCTACTTCAAGGGCATGTTCAACAGCCAGGGCGGCAAGGTGAAACCCCAGAAGCCTGGCTCCGGCCCGCTGAACCTCGAGATCTTCCAGGAGGTGGGCAATTTCGTCGAGGTGGTAACCAGCACCAAGGGCAACACCCTCGCGAAATGCTGCGCGGCGTGCGCGAAATCCATGGACTGTTACGAGTACCATTTTTTCGTGAGCCCTCGCATGGAGGACAACACGAACGTGAAGAACTTCCGCGACGGCGTGCAGTGCTACCTGCTGCAGAAAAACGCGGGCACGGGCATGTCAGGCGGGCTCTCGCACCCGTACGCGGGCGACAGGAAGGAGCAGGCGGCCATGGCGCCGTATTTCCCGCTGAGCTGGGTGGGCGGGCTGTGCAACGGCAAGGCGACTGTGGAGAACGACCCGCATCTGACGGGCGCGCACGGGACACATTTCGACTTCACGGGGCGGTTGAACAAGGCCTTCTGCCTGCTGTCGGACGAGCGCGTGCACATCAACATGCTGCTGGATGGGTACCAGGGCACTCCTCCTGCCGTGGCTGGTGCTGCTTCTGCTGCTGCTGCTGCGCCTAGCACTGGCCTGCACACCTGGATCAAGTATGACGTCTCTGATTGTTCTATTTGGTGTTTCTGCTTCTTTACCTTCCACCTCTGACTGAATGCTTGGAACTTTCGAGTGGTTTTCCTTTGTCCTCATGTTTTCATTGCTGTGCTGTCTTCTAATTCCCGTTTTTCCTTCCCCCCCACTCCGCCTTCTCCCCTGCGTGCTACTGTGCGCCCACAGGGAGGTGGGAGTGGTGTGGGTGTCATCTGGCGGCAAGCAGCACTCGCTGCGCATGGTGGCGCGCACAGGCAACCAGCAGGACAGGGGCGCCCACGGCTTCCTCACCCTCATGCAGGTGGACGGCGCTGACGTGGCACCGCCACGCCTCATGGAGGAAGCAGTGGAGGCGGAGGGGGGAGTCGTAGTCACTAAGGTGGCAGAGGGACGGGAGGGCCCGTTTGATGTCGATCGCTATACCGTCTCCCTGGAGGGTGTGGGCGAGCTGGACGTGCGCATGAGGGTGGCTCACCCGCTGCTGCAGACTCCTGAGGAGGCGGAGGCTCACTTCAACATTGCTCTCACTGACATTGTGGTGAGCTGACATGCTCACATGCTGACACGCTGACATGCTGACATGCTGACATGCTGACACGCTGACATGCTGACATACTGACATGCTGACATACTGACATGCTGACATGCTGCATGCACTAAACCCTGTGCCTCACTGTCTGCACTCCCCCTTGGCCTCAACTCTGCATCTCCCCTTCCCTAAGCCCTCTCCTCCCTTCCCCTCACCCTCCTCCCCCCTCCCTCCACAGACCACCCCTGCGGTGCACGGCGTACTAGGTCAGACCTTCCGGGACACCCCCGAGCAGCAGAGCAGGGCGCTGCGCTACACGCACCTGTCGGCGCTGCTGCACCACCCCATCGCCGCGGACCAGGAGGAGGGGCGCGGCTTCCTGGACGGCAATGTGGAGGACTATGTGTCGAGCGGAATCATTGCTCCTGACTGCCGCTTCTCCGCCTTTGCCGGCCGCAAGGGGCCCGTTGCTGCTGCTGCTGCTGCTGCTGGTGCTGGTGCTGGTGCTAGTGGTGGCGTTGGTGCTGCTTCTGGTGCTGCTACCAGTGCTGGTGCTGTGGGGAGTGCTGGTGCGGATGGGGAGGATATTGTAGGGGATGTGCTGGCAAGCGTGGTGTAGAGAGAGGGCAGTTGAGTTGAGAGAAGGCCGGTCAAACGAAGCAGTGGAGGAAGAAGGGAAGTGCTGGCAAGATTCCCAAGAGGGCAAGATGGCGTGGATGGAGGAAAGGAGCGATGAACCAGGGAGCAACAGAGGAGGATGTGACTACAGCGAAGCAGCTGCAGCTGGAAGGAGGGGGGGTGCTTGCAGCAGGATGTGACTGTAACGAAGGGAAGAGGAAGACGACCTGTTGGCAGGGCTGCAAGCACCGCCGAATAAGGCAGCCAGGAGAACAGATGCGTGTCAGTGTTACCGTTACCGTTACAGCTACCATTACAGTTACAGGAGCAGGAATAGCAGCAGTAGTAGGATGCATGTAGAGTCACGAGTGCCTGCTGTGCGCAGCAGGTAGCTCGCATGTACCTCAGACCTTGTATATACGCCCCGATGTGTGTTTGCGCCTCACTATTTATGAGCATTACAGCTTCCTTCACTATTTATGAACACCTAATACTGTCATCCGAACCTCCGTCCACCACTCATTGCACCACTCACAAGACAGGTTTCCGGCCTCTGGAAAAGCGAAGGCTGCGCCTGGGGCCTGCTTCTGCCCCTGCTGCCACTGCTTCGCTCTCCTCTTCTTTCTTTCCACCGCCTCCGCCCTCTGCTCTCGTGGCATCACCACACCCACCATGCTTACCGTGCTTAAAGCGGTCCCACGAATCAGAGGGGGAGACCGCGGGTGGGGCAGGAACGGCGAGCACGAGAGAGTTTTCAGGCAGATCAAGGCCAGGTGGATCAGCAATGGATGCGGTGGTGGCGGCATCAACGGGTGTCGACGTGTCCGGTGCGGTTGTGCTTGGAAGGAGAGGGAGAGAAGGAGGAGGACGGGGATGAGGGGCGGGGAGGCGGGGGAGGGAGGCAGAGGGGCAGAGCGAGAGGGATGCGAGGAGGCAGGAGGAGCAGCGGGGGCCGATGGGCAGGCAGGTGGTTTGGCCGAAGCCAACTAGGAGCGGGTTGATGCCCATCCACTCGTCTTTGGATAGAAACTGCTCTAGTGCTCGCCGCGTGTCCTCTGGTGTCTTGGCCTGGGAAGGACATGCGGAGGGTAGGAGGAGGCATGCGGGGGCAGTGGGGGCACATGGGTACGTGCGTTAGACGATGAGCACATGGGCGGAAGGGCGAATGGGAGGACGGGCGAGTGAGTGCATTGCGTGCATGTGATGCAATGCTCACCTTGGCGTCAGTCCACCCCAGGCGCCGTGCAATGCGGTGCACGTGAGTGTCTACACATATGCCCACTATCACACACAAGTACCGGCACATGGGCACATGGGCACACAGGCACATGGGCACAGCACATGCATGCTCACCTTGTCGTCAGTCCATCCCAGGCGCCGTGCTATGCGGTGCACATGCGTGTCCACACATATGCCCTCCACTCGCTCCCATGCCACGTTCATCACCTGATGGAGTTGTGGGTGCGTTCATGACATGGCACATGGGGCATTGCGCATGTGGGTAGGAGTACAGCGCATGTGCTACGGGCATGCATGCGTCTACCGGCATGCACATGTGCATATGGACGTAGTGCAGCATTTGAGTCGACTCAAAAGCAATGTGTCTGCGTGCATATCGACGTAGTGCAGCATCCAGCCAATCCCATTCCAACTTCCCTTCGTACTTCAACTTCTCTCTCCTCCCCTCTAACCGCTTCCCTCTCTCATTTCCCACTCGCCTCCACCTCTCTTCCCCCCACCCCACCACCCGCACTCACCAAATAGGCCATTTTAGGCCCAACGCCGGGCAGCGCAAGCAAATCTTCCAGGCTGCCCGGGATGTCTCCCCCGTGCTTTTCCAGGCAGATATTGGCCATTTTCTTCAGGTACCCCGCCTTGCGCACGTAAAAACCCACCTTTAGGACGGTGGGAAGGGGTGGGGAGGGGTGGAAAGGGATGGTTAGGGTTCATGTTCTTCAGGTACCCCGCCTTGCGCACGTAAAAGCCCACCTTTAAGAGGGGTGAGGGATGGTGGGGAGGGGTAGGAAGGAGTGATTGAGGGTGAAGGCACAGACAATGGCAGAAAGAAGGCGATGAGAGCTGGGATGAGGAAAGAACAAGCGGGTGTGCAAGAGAGAGCGAGATATGGAGAGAGAGGAGGCGATGAAGAAGGGGTGGAGGAATGGAGAGAAGACGCGGATGGGAAGACGGGATGCCATGCAGGGTGCATGGTGCATGGTGCAGGGTGCATGCTTGACAAGGGCATGCCGCGGAAGTGGTGTGGCCAAGGCATACCGGGTAGATGGTTTGGCTGACGGTTGTTTCCTCTGCTGCCTTGAGTGCTTCCGGGGACAGCAGCCCTGCTGCGTGCAGCCGTGCCACTGCCGCTGGTGGTGGTTGGGGGAGGAGATAGGGAGGAAAGGGGGGTAGGACGGTCGTGGGGAGGATGAAGCAGGAATGCTTCGGAGGTAATGGCGGCGAGGGGAGAATGGGCGGGCGGGCACAATGCAGCACACGTCCCTCCCTGCACTGCAGCAATGCATGGTGCAATGGGCGGCACACACACCGTGAGTGACGGGGTCCTTGGTCTGAGAGGAGAGCATGGCAAGCCTTGCCACGTGTCACCTGAGTGATGGGTGCAGAGTGGCACGCGGCCTTGCAATGAGCGGTGGACACACCATGGTTGAGGGGGAGACATGCCACGCACCGTGCGTGACGGGGTCCTTGGTCTGTGAGGAGAGCATCTTTGAGACGTCTCAAAAACCACGCACCGTGCATGACGGGGTCCTTGGTCTGTGAGGAGAGCATCTTTGAGACGTCTCAAAAACCACGCACCGTGCGTGACGGGGTCCTTGGTCTGTGAGGAGAGCATCTTTGAGACGTCTCAAAAACCACGCACCGTGTGTGACGGGGTCCTTGGTCTGTGATGAGAGCATCGCAGACACCAGCACTGCAAAGCGCCGCTGCTGCTTGCAGGAGCGGGGGAAGAGGAGAGAGGAGCAATGGGAGAGGAGACGAAAGAGTGGGCGGAAGTGTAAGGGGATTTCAGAGGAAGGCAGGAGTGGAAGAGGGAGGAGAAGGGAGCAGAAAGCAAGGGGAGGGAGGAGAGGGGGGATGGGGGACAGGATGCGAGAAAGATGCAAAGAGAGGGTGCATTTCCCAGGTGCCATTTCCCAGGTGCCATTTCCCAGGTGCCATTTCCCAGGTGCCATTTCCCAGGTGCCATTTCCCAGGTGCCATTTCCCAGGTGCCATTTCCCAGGTGCCATTTCCCAGGTGCCATTTCCCAGGTGCCATTTCCCAGGTGCCATTTCCCAGGTGCCATTTCCCCACGTGCTCCTAATTTTTCCCCAATGCCCTGTCGGACCCACCTTGTCAGCCATGCCTTGGCCCGCTTTCTCACACCCCATGGTATCAACAGGCGCGTCTCCCCCACTCCGCATCTCCTTGATTGCTGCTACCACCTCCTGCCACCTCCCCAGCCCCGCCCTTTTTGCCTGCCCGCCGGAGATTCTTTTCAGCTGCCCGGCGACAACTATTTCCCCGCCAGCTCTGCTATCTGTGTCTATCCCTGCCGGCTGTCTTCGTTTCCTCCTGCCCCTGCCACCACCCCAAGCACCCTCGGCCACGGCCATGCCATCAGCCTCGGTCACAGCCAAAGGTTCAGCTTTGGCTGCAGCCGTGATGCTAGTGGCTGCTCCACAGACTTCCCTGCCTGAGATGTCGCCCACCTCTTCTCTCTTCACAATCACATCCTCCGCCTCCCTCTTTACAGTCACATCACATATTCGGGTTACAGCCAGGTCATCCAACTCTCGTTTCACAACCACATCGCTTGTTTGTGGCCTTGCAGTCACCTCCTCTAATTCGCCCTTCGCAATCACCTTGTCAGTTTCCCTCTTTACAGTGACACCCGCTTTCTGCCTTGCAGACCTGCGCGTCACGACCTGCATTATCTCTTGCCCATTTTCGTTACTGTCATCTTCTTTACAGTCCTCTTCGTACTGCACAATAATTGTCGGCTTTCTCCCCCCTCCTCCGCGCCTGCTGAAAAGTCTTGTGCCTGAGAGCGCTACTGCCGTTTCACCATCCAACGCATGTTCACAATTTCCTGCCGGCCTACCGCCTCTTGCCGGCCTACCGTCTCTTGCCGGCCTACCGCCTTTTGCCGGCCCACTACTGACACCGCCACCATGCGCAAAGCGCATGAATTCGTTCATCAGCGCCGGGGAAAACGCGAAGCGCGCACGGGCGGCGGAGACGAGGGGGAGAGCGCGTGATGCTGCGGTGCGGGCGAGCATTGGGCGCGTGCGCTAGGCAGACTCTACTCGCGACAGCGCTACCGCTCCAATGCGGGGACAGCGTGCAGTGCACGCGAGTGAGTCGAGCAGACCGTGTGACTACCACGAGTGCGCACCAGCAGGGCGGTACGCGGTGCACTGGGAGGGAAACGCGCGCACGGGCGTTGCTGATGCCGAGGACGCACAACCGGGGAACCTAATGTCCCGCAATTGCAAAGCAATTCTGTCGGAATTAGTCGGCCGTAATTAAAGGCAGGGAAAAAGACGACTAATTTCGGGAAAAAGAAGACTAATTTCGGGGAAAAGACGACTAATTTCGGGAAAAAGACGACTAATTTCGGGAAAAAGACGACTAATTTCGGGAAAAAGACGACTAATTTCGGGAAAAAGACGACTAATTTCGGGAAAAAGACGACTAATTTCGGGAAAAAGACGACTAATTTCGGGAAAAAGACGACTAATTTCGGGAAAAAGACGACTAATTTCGGGAAAAAGACGACTAATTTCGGGAAAAAGACGACTAATTTCGGGAAAAAGACGACTAATTTCGGGAAAAAGACGACTAATTTCGGGAAAAAGAAAGACGACTAATTTCGGGAAAAAGACGACTAATTTCGGGAAAAAGACGACTAATTTCGGGAAAAAGACGACTAATTTCGGGAAAAAGACGACTAATTTCGGGGAAAAAAAAACTGCGACGAAGGCAAAAGGTCACTCACCTTGGAGTGGACGAGTCATCGATGTGGCAGGCCGAGGGTCTCGCAGGTGTGCGACAATCGGGCGCAACCCCGACCGACGAGATCCATTGCGGAATTTGCAATATTTGTAGCCTGCACAAACAAAACGAAGTGCTTAGTGGGCTGTTTTGCCAGCTGGCAAAGCACCTGCTCGCCACCTGCTTGGAGAAATCAAAACAGATGGTATTGAGTGCTTGTAGTAGCTAAATGAACGGGCACAGCTGATCCACACCTTGCATGTTTCTTTGCTCCATTGTGACATGTCACATTACCAATGCTGTACTCGTTTTCTCCAGTAAATTATGGACAAGAATAGAAAGAACTGTTAGTGTTCCTCTGATCCACAGCTACATCACATTAGACAAGAGGCAAGGCAAGCAATTCAGACTATGACCATCATTTCCCTCACAAGAACCAAGGTACCGTAAAACTTGCAACTACACTACTGAAGTCCGCCCCTAGCCACTACCTCATGTCATTCCTTTCCCCCCCTCCATCCTGCACTCCTTCCCACAACCCTCACTCACTCCTGCACCATACCCTCCTCTGCTACCGCCCCCAACTCCCCCGCCTCCCCTGCCTCCACCTCCCTGTCCCCCACTCCACCCCCCCACTTACGCGCACCCTGTATCAGCCCCTTGCCCACCTCCCCATCCTCGCCCCTGCCCGCACCACCAGCACCAGAACCCGATCTGAACACACGGGCATGGGCGTCGGCCGGAGGGGGGGGAGGAGGAGGCCGGGCAGGGCGAGCATCTCTGGGTGCGTCTCTGAATGCATCCCTGGGGACACCTGGAGGGGCATCCCGGGCATCTCTGCCTTCTCTGGCATCTCTGCCCTCGCGGGCGTCTCTAGAATCTCTGGCATTTCTCCCGCGCTCCCCTCCAGCTCCAGAGCCCTCAGCTCTGCTCTCCATGCGCCCGTTGCCGTTGCCTGCATCCTCACCCCCCTCCCCTCCTCCCTCCCTCACCTGCCCGTTGGGTATCCTGTGAGGGCTGCTCACACCAGAGGCAGGGGCAGAGGCGGGGGCAGAGGAGGAAGGAGGCCCCTCCCCATCTCTCCACCTGCGCTTCCATGCCTCGCTCCTCTCCTCCTCCCTCTCCCCTCCCCTCTCTACACTCTTCCTAGATCCTCCGTCTCCCCCCTCCCCTCTTCCCCAACCACCATCAGAAGGCCGGTCTGAATCCCGTCCGTCTGATCTCCTCCTCTCTGCCGTCCACGCCCCACCCCCTCCGCCCCCTTCTCTCCACTCCCTCCCTCTCCCTTTCTCTCGATCCCTCTCTCCTTCCCGCCCTCTCTCCCTCTCCCGCTCTCGCTCCCACCTCCCTCCTTCCCGAGCCTTAAATGACCGTCCTCCTGAGCCATCCATCGCGTCTCGCTGCGCTGGGTCCCGAGCCTCTCGTCCAGGTTCGGAAGTTCGGTGCGGCCTCTGCGTAGGTTCGGCAGCAGGTGGTACGGCAGCGCCAGGTTCGGGAGTCATTTGGGCACTCCTAGGTTCGGAAGAACCACGCCTGTCTCTCCCTCTGTCACGGGCCCTCTCAGCCTCACCTCTCTCCCAGCCTCTTGCTTCTCCTTTCACACCCTTCCCATGCTCCCTATGCTCCCGATGCTCCCTATGCTCCCTATGTTCCCTATGATCTCTGTGCTCTCTGTGTGATCTATGCTCCTCCTGCCGGTGTCTATCGTCTCTGTTCTTCTCGTCTCTGTGCCTCTCATTCCTGTGCTTCTCATCCTGCTCCTTCGATCGCTCGTCCCCTCTCCCTCTCTCCTCCCTCCATCTTCTCTCCCTGCTCCGCTCCCTATCCCTCTCCCTCTCCTTGTCCCTATCCTTTTCAGCGCCCCTTTCCTTGTCCTTCTCCCTCTCCCTCTCCCTATCCCTCTCTTTATCCCTCTCCCTCCCTCTCTCCCTATCCCTCTCCCTCTCCTTTTCTCGTTCCCGCTCTCGGTCCTTCTCCCCGCCTTCCTTCCCTTCGCCCCCACGGTCGTCCCTCAGCTTGCGATATATGTCGGCCAATCGCGTGCCGGACAGGTGCGAGTGCAGAGCCACATAGTCCCACAGGTCCTCAGAGATCCCTGCAGGGACGTTGACGGGGGACAGAGACGGGGGCAGCGGTGGGGTGGCGAGATGAACGAGAAGTGTGTCATTAAGCCAATTCAGTGAGCAGGTATGAGTCAGGTGAAATGCGAGAGGTGGGACTCACTCTGCAAGTGGGGGCGCGGGAGGGCGCCGTCGCTGGCCTCGCGCTTCATGACGCTGTCGATCTCATGGCCCAGCTGTCTCAGGTACTTCTTCACCTTCTGCGTCACCTCCTTGGGTGACAGCTCCTGCCTTGTCTGCAGCCGCTTCAGCCGCTGCAGCACACTGTCCTGAGGGGCCAGCCTCCCCTTGCACCACGCCACTCCGCGCCTCCCCTCCCCACCTTCTCCCCCTCCTCCTCCCCCTGCGGCGCCGCCTCCCACAACCCCTTCCTCCTCCTTCCCGACCTTGCTCCCTCCTCCGCCTCCTGCTGCTGCGGCGGCGGCAGCGGCGGCGGCTGTGGCTGCTGCAGCAGCGGCATCTTCTCCTTCGGAGATCTCCCCCTCCTCCTTTGCCTCCTCAGCCTCCTTTTCCTTCTCCGGTGACCGTTTTTCCTTCTCCTCCTCCCTCCTCCCCCGCCTCCGCCCCTCCCTCTCCCCACCATGCCTCCTCTCCCTCTCCCTCTCCCCTGCTCGCCCTCTCCGTCCCCTCTCCTCCCTCCCACCCCCGCCTCGACGCCCCCCACCCAGAGCAACTGCTTCGTCAGCGCCAGAAGCAGCAGCAGAGCCAGCAGCAAACGCGCCCTTGCCGCCTCCGCGCACCTTGATCTTGACCTTGAGGGCGTTGGCCGCTGCTGCAGCCTTTGCGTGGTGAGGATCCGCCTCCAGCTCCTGAGCGGCGGGTTGGTGGGGGGAATGGTTGGGGAGGGAACAGTTGATGGGGGGACTTTGTGACTTGGACTTCGACTCAAAGTTCCTCCCCCTCCGCCTATTCCTCCCCGCACCTTGATCTTGACCTTGAGGGCGTTGGCTGCTGCTGCAGCCTTGGCGTGATGCGGATCTGCCTCCAGCTCCTGAGGGACTCAGTCGGTGGGGGAATGGACGGGGAAAGAAAGGATGGAATCTCATGAAGAAAGGCTTCAAAGGACGATTTCAAGGCTTGACATGCAACAAATGACATGCGCACTCACACAGGCCCACTCACGCTCAGTTCAACCCACTCTTGCTCGCCCCACACTCACTCTTCACTCACTCCACATTCACCCCTCAATCACCCTTTCAACGTATCCCCCCTCCCCCCCCCTCTCCCCCACTTCCATACCTTGCGCAGCAGAGCAGACGCCCGCGCATCCAAATGACTCCCCCTCGGCAGCTTCCCCTCTCCACCTCCCCCGATCCCACCCGTCGATCCCGGCGGCGCGATCTTATTCTCCAATCCCAGCCGTTCATCCAGCCGAACCTGCTCCCAGTTGCCAAACCCATGAAAATGCACCCCTAGCAGCAGCCTCGCATCATCCACAGGCGTCCAAGAAGTCGTCTTAGCCCATGAGGGCACGCGTGCATGCGAGCGCAGCCGGAACTGCTTCACCGGGTCGCTTACACGCTCCACCCGCTTCGCCAGGAACTGAAGTTCCTTCACTCGCTGCAGCAGCTCCGGTGCTTTCACTGCCACGCCGAAGAAATCCAAAAGAGGGATCTTCCCTGCCGCTGCCGCCCCTGCTGCCGCCGCCGCTGCCGCTGCTGCTGCTCCTGCTGCTCCCAATGCTTCTTCTTCCTCTGCTGCGGCCGCGGCTCGCACGGTGTCTTTGCAGGCCTGCATGAGTAGCGAGTGGAGGGACCGCCGCTCTGCTTCGCTCGCTGCCTCCATCGCACCGCCGGCCTCTGCTGTCATCTGCGCCACCCGCTCCGCTCCACCATACCGCCTCACTGCCTTGACAAACGCGTTGGCGTCTCGCTTCGACAGCCGCCGAACCTTCACACCGCTAGCACCAGCACCACCAGCAGCAGGCCCACCAGCAGCACCAGCAGCAGCAGCAGCAGCAGCCTCCCCTGCCCCAGCCCCTGCTGCTGCACCCGCCCCCGCCCCTGCCGCTGCTCCTTCCCCCCCAGCACCCCCTGCCCCCCCTCCCCCCTCCCCCTGCACCGTCCACTGAGTAACCCTCACCAGTGCCCCTTCCACAGCAGGCGCAGCAGCAGGATACCCGCCCTCCTCCCCACCCGCATCCCCCTGCTCTCTCCGCCCTCGCTTCCTCTTCCCCCCACCGTCCTTCCCGCCCCGCCTACCACCCCTCCCCTCTCTTCCCTCCTCCTCCTCATCGTCAGCATCTGCTGCAAGTCCATCCCCCGTGTAGGTGGCGTTGCGGCGGGAGGAGCGCGGCCCTAAAGCCTTCTCCTCCTCCGCCGGTGCTGCCTGGATGAGGCGACTCCAAAACGCAGCATCATATTCTGTGCTGCTGAAATTCGCCACCTGGGGAGTGGGAGAGGAGGGGGAGAGGGGAGGAGGGGAAGGGGGAAGGGGGAAAGGGGAAGGCGAAGGAGCGAAGCGGAAAGAAGGTGAGGGAATGTGTGCAAGAAGGTGCTCAAGATAAGACTGAGAGAAGGCACGACTCAGTGCAGTGAACTCAAGAACACAAGAATGCACGCACACCCACCCACACCCACGCACGCGCGTGCATGCACACAAACACAAACCCAACCAAGCCCAAACATGCACAGCCACTCCCACTCGTAACCCACCCACACATGACTCATGACTCGTAACCCACCCACACATGCACAGCCACTCCCACTCGTAACCCACCCACACATTCCCTCTCTGATGACTCACAGTGAATGCGGAGAGCAGCTCGTTGGCGCCCTCTCCAGCGGTGCTGCTGTCGATCTTCTCAGCGCGCGCCAGGATCTCATCTATATCCAGATTCTCCAACCGGCGCGCACACGCACGCACAACCACATGCACATGCACGCACACAAGAGCGCACACTCCCACTCCCCTTGCAAACTCACAGTGAACGCAGAGAGCAGCTCATTAGCGCCCTCTCCAGCGGTGCTACTGTCGATCTTCTCAGCGCGCGCCAGGATCTCATCTATATCCAGATTCTCCAGCCGGCTTGCGCCCTCCTCCTCGCTCACTTTCTCCTTGAACAGCTCCTCTGCTCCGAACCGCAGAATGGCCGCCAACTCATTCTGGAAGGGACAGGATGGGGGATAAGGGCAAGAGTGCCGTTTGAATTGCAAGGGAGCTTGGTCCCTCCTCCTCACTCACTTTCTCCTTGAACAGCTCCTCTGCTCCAAACCGCAGAATCGCCGCCAACTCATTCTGGAGGAGACAGGGACAGGGAACAGGGGCACGAGTGCTGCTTGAACCGTCAAGAGGTACCACCCTCCTCCTCGCTCACTTTCTCCTTGAACAGCTCTTCTGCTCCGAACCGGAGAATCGCCGCCAGCTCGTTCTGACGTGGAGAAAAAAGGGCAGGGGGGTAAAGGCGGTGTCAGAAGACCTGCACCCTCCTCTGCGCACACTCCCTCCTACGAGCTCCTGCGCTCCACACCGCGGAACTTGAGGCGCCTCAAAAGACCGCGTTTTGAGCCCCCCCAAAAGCACCCTTTTCCGCGCACACTCCCTCCTACGAGCTCCTCCACTCCAGACCGCAGAATGGCCGCCAAGCCAACTCATACTGGCGGGGAGACGCGCCAAGTAATGGCAAGAGTGCCGTTTGATGGGCTACATGATGCGCTACAAAGATGAACCACAGTCACAACGCAATCGGCATCTGCATCCCCACTATCCCCCACTCTGTCCCACCTTATCAAACATGCTGCTGCTCTTCTTGCTGTCCAAATTCTCAGCCACTACCACCAACCCCAACCCTGCACCACCGCACCGCACCTTATCAAACATGGAGCTGCTCTTCTTGCTGCTGGTCTTCTCCAGGCGCCCGGCGGCGTTGAGCTTCTGGATGACGAGGTGGTCCAGCACCATCTTGCGCTTGGCGCCCACTACCCTCAACCCACTACCACTCCCTTCAACCGCACTGCACCTTGTCGAACATGGAGCTGCTCTTCTTGCTCTGCGTCTTCTCCAATCTCCCAGCAGCATTGAGCTTCTGGATGACGAGGTGGTCCAGCACCATCTTGCGCTTGGCACTCCCGCTCGTCACAACCCACCCCTCCCTGCTCTCCTACCCAACCAAACCCCACCCAACCGCACCTTATCGAACATGGAGCTGCTCTTCTTGCTGTGCGTCTTCTCCAGCCTGCCGGCAGCGTTGAGCTTCTGGATGACGAGGTGGTCCAGCACCATCTTGCGCTTGGCGCCCACTACCCTCAACCCACTACCACTCCCTTCAACCGCACCGCACCTTATCAAACATGGAGCTGCTCTTCTTGCTGGTGGTCTTCTCCAATCTCCCAGCGGCGTTGAGCTTCTGGATGACGAGGTGGTCCAGCACCATCTTGCGCTTGGCGCGCTCCAATATGTCCTCCTCCACGCTGCCACTCGTCACAAACCGGTAGATGTTCACCACGTCCTGTTGGCCTATGCGGTGGGCTCGGCTCATGGCCTGGTGATGGGAGGGCACAAGGCAATGCGTGACAAGGCGAGGCATCAAGATGGTCTGAGAAAACTCAACCTTCCAACACCACCCTCCCCGCTGCCGCTCGTCACAAACCGGTAGATGTTCACCACGTCATGCTGCCCTATGCGGTGCGCTCGGCTCATGGCCTGGCGTGGAGGGGACAAGGCAATGCATCCAGACAAATGGTCAGAAGCACCTCAACCTTCAACACACCACCCTCCTCCACACTGCCGCTTGTCACAAACCGGTAGATGTTCACCACGTCCTGTTGGCCTATCCTGTGTGCTCGGCTCATGGGCTGCAGTGTAAGAGAATGGGGGGCGACAGGCGGGCAAGCAGGGTAAGGCGGGCGACAGGCAGCACATATTTGGTAGCAGGGTGGGGCATTTCTAGAGATTGTGTTTGCTCACCTGCAGGTCGTTCTGTGGGTTCCAATCCGAGTCAAAGATGATAACCGTGTCAGCTGTAGCGAGGTTGATCCCCAGCCCACCCACAACCCCAGCCCCAGCTCAGACCCGCACACGCTGCCTCACCTGCAGGTCGTTCTGCGGGTTCCAATCCGAGTCAAAGATGATAACCGTGTCAGCTGTGGCAAGGTTAATCCCCAATCCACCAGCCCGCGTGGAGAGCAGGAAGCAGAAGTCTTCACTGCCGGGCGCGTTGAAATGCTCCATTGCCTGCTGCCTCAGGTCCGCCCTCGTGCTGCCGTCCAGGCGCTGGAACTGGAAGCCCCGCAGGGCGAGGTAGTCTGCTAGAATGTCCAACATGCGCACCATCTGAGCGTGTAGTGGGGGGAGGCAGGGGAGAGGGAGGCAAATGAGAAGAGGAAGGGGGGGCGTTAAAGTGCTCCATTGCCTGCTGCCTCAGGTCCGCCCTCGTGCTGCCGTCCAGGCGCTGGAACTGGAAGCCACGTAGGGCGAGGTAGTCGGCTAGAATGTCCAACATGCGCACCATCTGAGTGGGTGGGGAGGGAGGAGGGAGAGAGGGAGAGGTGGGGAGGAAAAAGGGAAGAGATGAAGCAATAGTTGGTCGGTAACCAGCACGGCTCAAACCACAATGACACTCTCTCTTAACACCTCCGAAAAGGCTGTCTAGGAGGGAATGACAATCATAATAAGATAAATAGACCCACCTGGGAGAAGATGAGAACGCGGTGGCCCGTCTCTTTGAGCCGCGTGAGCAGCTTATCCAGCAGAGTCGTCTTGCCACTCCCCAGCACGATCCGCTGCGCCTTGCCCTGTGCGTCCAGGGCCCCTCCCGCCGCCCCGCCCCCGTAGCCGTAGTCAGCGCTCTCGAAGAGGAAGGGGTGGTTGCAGCACTTCTTTAGTTCGGCAACAATGTTGAGAAGGGAGACTTGATTGCTGCGCGCGTTCTTGTTCAGGTCCTGGAAATTGCGCTCCAGAATCCACTTGTAGTACCTGCCCGGGGAGTGTGGGGGGGAGAGGGAGAGGGGGGAGGACGAGGAGAGGGGGGAGTGGGCAAGGGGAGAGATCAGGGAGGAGAGGCAGTAGACGAGGCCGTGGTGAACAAGCCATCCACTAGGAATCACACGCACCCACAGTTTCTGCAGGGAGGTTCCGATCCAAACAGCCACTCGCTGCATTAGGTCTTTTGAACGGCAAGCAAAAGCCACAGTCACTGTTTTTGCAGCGAGGGGCAAACGACCACTCACTTGCTTGTGTAGTGTAGGGGCGACATCTCAACGCGACGCGCAGGATGCGCTCGATCTTGGGCGGGGGGCAGAACGCGGGTGGACTCTTCCCACAGGTGGAGAAGATGTGAGCTTTGGGAGAGTGCTTTGTCAAGGCGAAGAAAGCGACACTCACTGTTTCTGCAGCGGCGACATTTCAACGCGCAGGATGCGCTCGATCTTGGGCGGCAGTGACTTCTCAACGTCCTTGATCACCCGCCTCAGCATGTGCGGGCGCAGCTCCTGGTGTAGTGACGTGATCTGCATGGGGAGAAAGGGGGCAAGGGCAGGGAGGCAGTGGAGCCAATGTCCAAGGATCTGATGTGCTGCTGTTGCAGTGACAACAACTGGCAGGAGTGGGTAGAAGAGCCATGCATAGTGAAACTGAGCTAGAAATATCAGACAGAATGTGAAACAGGAATGGAGCACATCCCCCTCACTAATACTGCCTTCCACATCTCACCTCCGTCTTGTCCTTCTCAACCTCGCTCTCCCCTCACCTCCCTCCTCTCCCCTCACCTCCTCCTCCTGCCTCTGCCCTCACCTCCTTCTCGCTCTGGTTCTCCAGCAGGTGTTTGTACTTGGCTGAAAACTCCTCCTTGTCGCCGAACTTTCTGTTGTCCAGGAAATGCAGCAGCGCCCTGGCAGGAGCACGAGGGGCGGATGGGCGAGGGAGGGGGGAATGGGACGCAAACGGGTGGAGGACGAGGGAGGGGAAACGGGACAAACGGAGCGAGGGCGAGGGCAGAGCAGGGTGAGTCAGGAGGGGGCGGGCAGAATTGGGATGGGGGGAGACAGGGGAACGACGTGACGTTGCAGTAATCACACTTAAGCCGTTGCGATTTTTACCTGAGTAAAAACCTCCCCTGCGCTGCTGCAGCTCTCCTAACCTAATCTATGCTGCTACAGCTCTCCCCCACAGCGCCACTCACCAGAGCTCCTCCACGCTGTTCTGCAGGGGGGTGCCCGTAATCAGCAGCTGGTTAGCTGCTGCAGCTCTCCTAACCTAATCCGTGCTGCGACACCGCTCCCCTACGGCAGCGGCACTCACCAGAGCTCCTCCACGCTGTTCTGCAGCGGCGTGCCCGTGATCAGCAGCTTGTTGCGCGCATGGAAGCCCTGGGGGAAGGAAGGGGGAGGGGCAAGAAGGGAAGGTTTTTAAGTCGACTCGGTAATCTGCTCACTACGCGTGGTTTATACGCTGTTCTGCAGGGGCGTGCCGGTGATCAGCAGCTTGTTGCGCGTATGGAAGCTCTGAAGAGAGGGAGGGGGGCGGAGGGAGGCGGAGGGAGGAGGAAGTGGGAGGAGTGAAGGATGGAAGCGGGAGGGGAAACGCAGCTTACACTAAGGACTCAAAAGGTGGATGGCAGGTGCGCAAGAGAGCTTACAACCAGCATGATGTAAAGAGCCGCCTCGGAGTTCTTGAGTCGGTGCGCCTCGTCCACCATAAGGTACAGCCTCGTCCAGCGGATGGGCGCCGGCACAGCCTTGTACTTGAGATGCAGTACCCGACCCGTGCCTGGTGCTCCCCTTCCCCTGGGGTGGAATACTGCATCTCATGGCGTGGCTTACAATGAGCGTAGTATAGAGCGCTGCCTCGGAGTTTTTGAGGCGGTGCGCCTCGTCAACCATGAGGTAGGTCCAGCGGATGGGCGATAGCACAGCCTTGTCCTTGAGGACCACCTCGTACGTTGTTAGTAGCGCGTGGAACTTGCTCTGCCGCCCGCCCTTCCTGCCCCCCTGCCCGAACTCGTACTGCTGCACCACCTGGTAGTGTTGGGGGGAAGCGGGGGGGAGGAGTTACACAGAGGAAGGAGTGATTGAAGAGGCGAATTCCGTCACACATCTCTCTGCTGCCCGCCCTTCCTGCCCGCCTGCCACATCTCAACCCTGCACACGTCACAGTCCCTTGCACACGCCACCCCTCTGCACCACGCCACGCCACCCCTCTGCACCCCTCATACCACACCTTTCCAGCACGACTCAACCCCCTGCGCCCCTCATGCCACACCCCGCACCTATCTGCACAACCCCTCACCTCTCTGGAGGCGCGGTTGCCGACGTAGAGAACAACATTGAGGGAGGGCAGCCAGCGGCGCAGCTCCCTCTCCCAGTTGCTCATTGTTGAGAGCGGTACCACTATCAGGAACGGGCCCTGTATCTGCTGCATGTGCTGCTCGTTGGGAAGGGGGGGTGGGAACGGGAAGTGGGGCAAAGGAAGGGTAGGGGAGAGGGATGGGGAGGAGGAGGGAAGAGGAGAGGGAGCGGGGCGAATGGCGGTGGGAGGGGTTGGGAAAAAGTTGAGGAGTTGGCAGAATGGGGCAGAGGGAAGAGGACGAGACAGGAGGAAAGGATTCAATTAGTGGCACCACTATTAAGGAGGGGAAGATGGGTTAGAGGAACGAGGGGGAGGGGGGTTAAGGTGGGGGTGGGGAAGGGTGGGGGGAGGGAAGGAGCTGAAGCGGGCAGTAATGCGAGAGTACACATTCGATGCACATGCAACCCACCCGCGTACAACACACCTGCGTGCATGCCATGCAAGCATGCTTCCATCCCATGCATCCCATGCATCCCATGCATCCCATGCATCCCATGCATCACACGTACAAAGAGGAGGCCGAGCATGGAGACGGACTGTACTGTCTTGCCCAGCCCCTTCCCTCCCTCCACTCCCCCCCATCTCTCCCTCCCTCCACCTACCGATCCCTATTCCCTCCCTCCACCCACCACCCCCCATTCCCCCCTTCTGCAACACCCTCTTCCAGAGGGGCAAGCGGGTATGCACCCCCCCACGTACAAAGAGGAAGCCGAGCATGGAGACGGACTGCACTGTCTTGCCCAGCCCCATCTCGTCCGCCAGTATGACATTGGTGTCCCTCATCCAACTGCCATGGGCACATGCACATGCACATGCGTGAACATGCCCATGCTCACCCACACACATGCTCACCCACACACATGCTCACCCACACACATGCTCACCCACACACATGCTCACCCACACACATGCTCACCCACACACATGCTCACCCACACACATGCTCACCCACACACATGCTCACCCACACACATGCTCACCCACACACATGCTCACCCACACACATGCTCACCCACACACATGCTCACCCACACACATGCTCACCCACACACATGCTCACCCACACACATGCTCACCCACACACATGCTCACCCACACACATGCTCACGCACACCCACACACATGCCCACGCACACACATGCTCACCCACACACATGCTCACCCACACACATGCTCACCCACACACATGCTCACGCACACCCACACACATGCCCACGCACACACATGCTCACCCACACACATGCTCACCCACACACATGCTCACCCACACACATGCTCACGCACACCCACACACATGCCCACGCACACACATGCTCACCCACACACATGCTCACCCACACACATGCTCACGCACACACATGCAAATACATGCACACACGCGCACATGCACACATGCAAACAGACATACATGCACACATGCACGCACACATGCACGCACACATGCACGCACACATGCACGCACACATGCACGCACACATGCACGCACACACGATTATAGGCATGAGCATGGGAATGTCACGCATGACATGTACATAAAAACGTCCCAACATTAAAGAAAGGGTGACGAACAGACACAGAAACGAGCACAGAAACGGCAGAAACAAGGCGTGACGAGGGTTTTCCCCCTTTCTCTCCCCCCACCTTCCTCCATTCCCTCCACCTCCCCCCATTCCATCCACCTCCCCCCATTCCCCCACCTCCCCCCATTCCCTCCACCTCCCCCCATTCCCTCCCTCCACCTCCCTCCCCCTTCCCTCCCTCCATCCCCCTCTTGCTGAGAGGCAAGCACTGCCCATGCCCACCCGAGTCGAGTTGCAGTATCCACCACCCCCCTTGTCTACCTGTGGATGAGGAAGTTGAGGCCCATGAGCTGGTAGTCCCTCAGCGTGCCGCCCTTGAGCCTCCCAACCCCCCTCTTGCTGAGAGGCGGGTACCCCCCCCACGTGCAGTGGCCCTACCCCCAACCCAACCCCAGCACCTGCAAAGGAGGTACCTGTGGATGAGGAAGTTGAGGCCCATGAGCTGGTAGTCCCTCAGCGTGCCGCCCTTGAGCCACGCCGGCTGCACCTCCAGCTTGCTCATGGCTAGAGCGGAGTGAGAGGAATGGGGATGGAACGGGGACCCAAAGAGGACGGCCGGGAAAGGCAACGGGGGACGGGGAGGCCGGGGGGAGGGGGTAACACAGGGGTACGAGGAGGGCGGGGGTGGGGGTAATGCAGGGGAACAACAGAAAGGGTCGTGTGGAGTTAGAGGGGTCAATGGAGGTTGGAAGGGGCGTGGAGGGCGGGGGGGAGGGGATAAAACAGGGAAACAGAACGGGTCACATGGAATGGAATGAAAGGGATGAATGAAGATGAAAGGGGCGTGGAGGGCGGGCAGGAGGGGAAATGCAGGGAAACAGAACGGGTCACATGGAATAGAATGGGAGGGGTCAATGGACAGGAGATTGGAAGGGGCACTTAGACGGAGCCTGCATAACTCAACCTTCCCTTGGCCCATTCCCCTGCCCCACCCACTCTCCCCTGCCCCACTCTCCCCTGCCCAACTCTCCCCTGCCCCACTCTCCCCTGCCCAACTCTCCCCTGCCCCACTCTCCCCTGCCCAACTCTCCCCTGCCCCACTCTCCCCTGCCCAACTCTCCCCTGCCCCACTCTCCCCTGCCCAACTCTCCCCTACCCCACTCTCCCCTGCCCAACTCTCCCCTGCCCCACTCTCCCCTGCCCCACCCACTCTCCCCTGCCCCACCCACTCTCCCCTGCCCCACTCTCCCCTGCCCCACTCTCCCCTGCCCAACTCTCCCCTGCCCCACTCTCCCCGTGCCCCACTCTCTACTGCTCGTCCCCGCTGCACTCTCTCACCAGCCACCCATCTGCCTGCACGCTAGCCTCACCTCGGCAGCTCTTGCGTTGCGCCTCCACGCTTTTCCCCACCACCAGTGCTCCCGCCTCCCTCTCCTTGAACTCGTCTATCGCCTCCCGTGCAACCTCTATGTCCGCCTCCGCCTCCCTGCACGTGCAGACAAGAGGTGATGGAAAGGGATAGGGGGTGAGTGTAGTGCCTTGTGAGTCGACTTGCTGCAGATCGACTTTCGCCTCCCTCTCCTTGAACTCGTCTATCGCCTCTCGTGCAACCTCTATGTCCGCCTCCGCCTCCCTGCACGTGCAGACAAGAGGTGATGGAAAGGGATAGGGGGTGAGTGTAGTGCCTTGTGAGTCGACTTGCTGCAGATCGACTTTCGCCTCCCTCTCCTTGAACTCGTCTATCGCCTCCCGTGCAACCTCTATGTCCGCCTCCGCCTCTCTGCACCCGTGGAACAAACAAGGGGGGAGGGGGAGTGCCCGGGAGAGGGGGGAGAGGGGGAGTGCCCGGGAGAGGGGGGAGAGGGGGAGTGCCCGGGAGAGGGGGGAGAGGGGGAGTGCCCGGGAGAGGGGGGAGAGGGGGAGTGCCCGGGAGAGGGGGGAGAGGGGGAGTGCCCGGGAGAGGGGGAGAGGGGGAGTGCCCGGGAGAGGGGGGAGAGGGGGAGTGCCCGGGAGAGGGGGGAGAGGGGGAGTGCCCGGGAGAGGGGGGAGAGGGGGAGTGCCCGGGAGAGGGGGGAGAGGGGGAGTGCCCGGGAGAGGGGGGAGAGGGGGAGTGCCCGGGAGAGGGGGGAGAGGGGGAGTGCCCGGGAGAGGGGGGAGAGGGAGAGTGCCCGGGAGAGGGGGGAGGGGGGGAGTGCCCGGGAGAGGGGGGAGGGGGGGAGTGCCCGGGAGAGGGGGGAGGGGGGGAGTGCCCGGGAGAGGGGGGAGAGGGGGGAGAGGGGGAGTGCCCGGGAGCAGGTGGCCTCGGAGTAGGAGAGCCCCTTCCACTTGACAAAGAACTCGTGAAAGGGATGGTGGTGAGGCGTGAAGCGAAGAGTGGTGATGGAAGGTGACAAAGCAGTGCAAAGCTCTACAGAGAGATGGTGGTGAGAACAAACGCACCAGGTGGCTTCAGAGTAGAGTAGAAGAGCCCCTTCCACTTGACAAAGAACTCGTGAAAGGGATGGTGGTGAAGCGCGACGGGTGGTGATGAATGGTGACAAGACGGTACATAGCTCTGAAAGTAAACGCGCGAACGCACCAGGTGGCCTCGGAGTAAGAGAGCCCCTTCCACTTGACAAAGAACTCGTGAGAGGGATGGCGCGATGGGTGGTGAGAGGGTAGGTGGTGAGGTGAACAGACGCACCAGGTGGCCTCGGAGTAAGAGAGCCCCTTCCACTTGACAAAGAACTCGTAGCTGCTGACCTCATCGCCCTCCCGCCCCGCCTCCCCTGCTGCAGCCTTGGCTGGCCGCTCCGCCACCACCCGGTCCACCTGGGATAAGCGACAGGCACGGCAGGAAATAGACCGGGGGGGGGGGGGGGCGGAGAACAGGGAAGGGCACGCAGGAAGGACACGTGTCAGTTGTTGAGGCGCCACAGGAATAGACTCCGCCGGCCACCACCCTATCCACCTGGGGTGAGCGCAGGCAGGCAAGGACAAGAGTCCAGGGGTGGGGGTTGGGAGGGAGAAACTGGAAGGACAAGCGTGTCAAAGCTAATGCCACGGAGGAGGGAGAAAAGGGACAAACGGGCACGCCACGTGGCATTGGAACACGAACCTAGAGTCTAGCCACACCGGGCATTGTCACGTGCCATTGAGAAGAATCTACCCACTCCCGCCGGCCTGGGAACCCGCCCACACCCGCCCACCTGCGAGTACTGCTTGAGCAGGTCCAGCTCCATCTCGCGCCCCACGTTCAGCGCCTCCACCTCCTCCGCTGACACAGTGGCGCACGCTGCATGCCTACGCACACCCCTCCACATGCCAGTCTAGCCCGGCACCCCACATGCCACACAACCCCCACCTGCGAGTACTGCTTGAGCAGGTCCAGCTCCATCTCGCGCCCCACGTTCAGCGCCTCCACCTCCTCCGCTGACACGCTCAGTCGGTACCGCCTCTCATCGTCCGCCCGCTTCATGTAGTTCTGCACCTTCTTGAACCCGGGCAGCTGCGGGTGGGGGGGTGAGATAGTGAGATGGTGAGATGGTGAGATTATTCATTTGGTGATTCTAAATTTTCCGGTGCTCGTTTCGAGAGAGCGAGAGAGAAAGGGGGACTTAGCCTCTTCCCTCCTAGCCTCTTCCCCTTCCCCCAGCTATATAATGGCCAGCCGGCACCTTCCCTAGCTCATTATTCATTTGGTGATTCCAAATTTTCGCGGCGTCTATCCAGCAGCACCTCAGGCACGTGGCAGCGGAGCACCCGGAAGTCACCGTCCTCGCGTACGCAGACGACATAACCATGATTGGACCCGCGACGGCGACGCTAGACGCGCTAAGGGAGCTCACGCCGCTACTAGCACAGGATGGCCTCACCTGCAACTTTATGAAGTCGTCGGCGTGGTCCTCCATGCCGCTTGGAGGTGTCGTGCTCCCTGAAGGCCTCCCCCACACCCACGAGGGGGTACGGGTGTTGGGAAGTCCTGTGGGGTCGCAGAGCTTCTGCTCTGCCTTTGTCCGCAGTACCCTGACAGACGCGGCAGCCCCCTTGGGTTCCCTGGCGTCCATCCACCCACAACATGCCCTCCTGCTACTGTCCCGTTGCATCAGCCGCAGAATCGGCTACCTGCTACGCACTACCCCAGCAGACGTCTTACCCCTCTCGGAATGGCACACATGGTGCTCCGAACTACTGCACACGGCCTTGACCGCCGCCAGCATTCAACCGCCACGCCGAGAAGCCGAGTTCAACTTCCTGCTCCGACAAGCAACTCTTCCAGTCGCCCTGGGCGGGCTGGGACTTACAGACCCCACAACAGAAGCAGCACCGGCCTACCTGGCATCAACGACGGAGGCGCTACGACTGCTCCGCTCCCTTGACCTACCAGCAACCGCGGCACTGGGGGCCAACAACAACACCCTGCAGCCGTCCGCAGCGCACTCAGTAACCATCCAGGACATGGAGGGGCGCCTGCCACCGCTGGCGCTACAAAACCTCCGGGAGGAGCAGCAAACCCCGTCCCAAGACCAGCTGCAACGCGCCCTCTCTCAGGAGGTGCACGCGGCAAAGGCCGACGCCTTGACAGAGGAGTCACGCACCATCCAGTCAGCCCCCGAGATGGGTCACTCACTCCGCCTCATCAGCCTGAGAGGGGAGGGAGCGGGAGCATGGCTGCAGGCCCTACCTTTGACCCCGGACCTTTGCTTCTCACCGGGACAATTCCGAGCAGCCCTGGCCTTCCGCATGGGCATCCGACAGAATGTACCCACTGTGTGCGAGTGTGGAGAACTCGTAGCCGACTGCAGCCTACCCAACCACCTACTCCGCTGCAGCACAGGCCCCAACAGGACACGCACACACAACCAGCTAGCTTTTGCCGTGGCTAAAATGGCAAGGGAAGCACAGCTGGTGGTATACCTGGAGAACGCCATGTACTCACCGCCGGATGACCCGAAGAAAGCCGATGTGATTGTACGCGACCCGGACAGTGGAGAGACTTGGATCACAGACACCACTATCACAGACCCCGTGCTGCAGAACCGGGACCCCACAGCCCGCAAACCCCCAGGCTGGGCTGCTAGAGAGGCACAGAGGCGGAAGGAGAGGGAGTACTACCGACACACGGAACACGTGGTGTTCTGCGCCCTAGCCGTCGAGACCTACGGGGCAAACGCGCCCACCACGACTGCGTTCCTGAAGCTGCTGGCCACAGCAGCAGCTAGGAACCGGTTCAGGGCCAACCCCCTGGCGAAATCGGCCAAGAAGATGGCCTGCCACTTCAGCCAGCGCTGGTCAGTGGCCCTCCAGCGCTCCCAGGCTAATGCCCTGCACACCAAGGCCAGGGCTGGGATCGAGGCAGCGCACCCCCAGATGGCAGCGGACCCCTGGCCGCTGCACCTGGGGGACATCCTCCACACGCTGGAGGGCTAGAGGGTCACTCAGGGGGGGGGGTGAAGAGTGGTAAGTTTTGGGGCTTAAGGGATAGAGGTTATCATGGATAGCACCGCATGTTTGTACCCCTGCTGAATTAATACAAAGGACCGTTTGAGATGGTGAGAAGGTGCAAGGGTGGAAAAACAGAGGGGGTGAGAGGCGGTACCGCCTCTCATCGTCCGCCCGCTTCATGTAGTTCTGCACCTTCTTGAACCCGGGTAGCTGAGGATAAGAGGATACGGGGCGATGGGAATAAGAGGCTTGGAGAGGGCTTGATACGCTGAGAGGCTGGAGGGGGTGCCTAACAGGCAGACAAGATGCAGTACCATGAAGAGGGATGCAGTATGGTGGAAAGGGATGCAGAACGGTGAAAAGGAGTGCAGTACCGTGGAGAGGGTGGCAATGGGCAGCCAGTCGCAGTGCAGGAAAGAGCGCCCCTTCCACTTGACGTACAGCTCCTGCTGCTCCCAGTCGATGGCCTCGCTCACATCATACTCCAACACACACGGCCCCGTGGGCTGCCCCGCTGCCCGCATCTCCTCACTCCGCCCCAGCGGCTGGTGCCACAGCACCCGCTCCACCACGTCCCCCTCCGCCTCTGCGTCTGCCTCTGCCCCCTCTGCTGCATCCCCTCCGGGCGGAAGCATGTCTTCGTCCTCCTCCTCGCCCTCCTCCCCCGCTGCTGCGATACCCTGCGCTCACACAGAAGCACGGCCAGCAGTGAGTATACAGTGGCATGGATGCACACCAATGCACAGCTAGGGATGGTACAGTTAGGGAAGGAAGGCACTTCCAGTGACGGTACAGGCTAAACTGGAGGCACATCTGATGACGGTACAGCTGGGGCGCACCTTGAGTTTCTTCTTCGCAGGGGGCGCCAGCTCATCCGCCGAGTCCTCATCATCCTCAAAGTACGACTTGCGAGGCACAGCCCTCCGTGACATGCGTGTCTCCCTCGCCGCCACCCCCGCCCGCCCTCCCCCCTTCCCCGACCGCCCCTTCCGCCCCTCCCCGCCGCTGCTCTCACTCTCCGAGCTCCCCGCCCCGCCCCGCACGCGTTTCCTCCCGCCCCTCCCCCCGCCCCCGCCCCCTCCCCCGCCTGACGCGCCAGCCGCCCCTCGCCTGGCCCGCGGCTTCCCCCGCCCCTCACTCTCGCTCCCTGACTCGCTCACCGACCCAGAGAAATCCGACGAGCTCTCGTCGTCCCCGCCACCCGCCCCAGCCTCGTCAAACGACTCACTCCCACTTCCTGCCTCCTCCTCCTCGTCCCCCTCCCCATCATCGTCTGACGACTCTACAGTCCGCCGTCTCGCATTCGACCGGTTGCTAGCGCGAGTCCCTCTTCCCCCACCCCCTCCGCCACCCCCTCCCCCTCCGCCTATTCCGCTCCCGGCGGCGGGTCTGGGGGGCGCTTTTCTGCGGTTGTTGGGGCGGCGGGACTGCGGGCGGCGGGAGCCGCCGCTGCTGCCATCAGATGCGGAGGAGGACGCGCTACTGGGGGAGTCCGACTCGTCACCAGACGACGCGGGTGAGTCGCGGCCTTCCTCCTCCTCTTCCTCTTCCTCTTCCACGTCAGCGTCGCCCTGATATGGGACAGCAGCGGACGGGCGAGGCAGACAGAACAACGTGTGAGTCAGTCAGAACCGTAGGGCGGCAGGGGCTACCTTGCGCAACAAAAAGTAAATATATAACTTCTCGATATTGTCCGCGCTCATCACCCTCCCCCTCAGCGCTCACCTCCTTCCCCCGCCGCGCCAGTTGCCCATTCGGCGCGCAGCTGGTGGGGTCGAAGTCCTCGTCATCAGGATCGTCGCCTGCACAAGAGAAAAAAGCCCACGGAAAGGCAGCAGGGCGTGGCATTTGAGTTTTGAGACGTCTCAATGCTGGTGGGGTCGAAGTCCTCGTCATCGGGGTCGTCGCCTGCACAGACGCAGACCAGGAGACAAGAAGACGTGTATGGTTAACGAGTCCGCATTTCACGAGGCAGCACGGCGTGGCATTCACACGCGTCCGCATTTCACGAGGCAGTAAGGCGTGGCATTCACAAGAGCCCGCGAACCACGAGGCACGGCACCACAGCAGCAGGAGTTTAAAAAACGCACGAAGCTACCCTGTCTGTATAACGAAGGAGATCAAGGCAAGCGCACCTGCTTCATCCTCCTCCTCGTCTTCCTCCGACCGCTCCTCGTCCTCCTCCATCTCATACCCCGCCTCCTCGTCCCCCTGCCCGCCCCGTCTTCCGCTGCCCGATCCATCGCTCCCGCCTGAACTGCCCGACCCACTGCCGTCGTCCTCGGGCTTCATCCCGCCCGCGCCAGGTCCCGTCGTACGCGCTATAAGAACCCGAGAATGAGTGCAGCGCAAATGTTCTACAGCAGGTTCGCAAGCCTGCTGTGGCGTTGACCCGAGGTCGCGGAAGGGAAGGGAGTCAAGCCGGGCTTGCAGATTCGATCTTCTGGGGTTCGAGAAGACGTTAAATACGCTGAGGGGACGCAGGGCAATGGAGATACAAGGAGGGAGGCACCGGGTAGAGAAGCCGTTAGTCGAAGGCGAACAAAACGGAATCCCGGGGTAATGGCCGAGGGTGATAGTGCAAGGAAAGGGGCGAAATTTCCGAAACGGCGAAGCGCGGAACGATTCCGGACTGTCAGATGTCTCGAATCCACATGCGATCGCGTAGACACGCCAAAACTTTGATCCTTGCGTGGCCCCGCCCTAATATTTGTGCTGGTGACCAGATCTCCGCCCCGGCCCTGATCGTCGAGCTCTCCACGAAACGGAAGCGACAAACGGAGCTAGTAGGAGAGCACGATGTCAGACGGACCGGACGCACCAATAATTGTGAGCATTAAGGAGTCTACGGAGGTTGCTCTGAGTGGCCACAGACCAGACAGTATGTGCGATTCGCAAGGGCGATGCTGGGCTGAAGAGGATCTGAAACCCCACCTACCGGCCATGTGACATGTGACCTGACGCTTTCTTCTCCTAAAACAGCAGGATTCCTTAAATTAGGGTTACGCTCAAACAGGATAAGTGCTTGCAAAAATCCCGAAATTAGGCCTCCATACGCGGTCTCTGGGGATGGATTTGACGCGGGAACGCATCGGAGGGATGCTCGATGGACCTCGGGCGACGCATTTTTTACTATATAAAAATTAGGGTTAGCATGTCCGGCCTTCTGGACCATCGGGTAAGGCCTTATATATTCAGAAATTCCGATCTGATAAGTCCGATTTGAGCGCACATCTAGGGCTCTGCAGACCCTAAGGACCTCACAGCAGACAACTGGATGCTTTTAACAACCAACTGGATCGATCTAATGCGGTCCGCGAGGCGCTAAGATGGGCCCGGAGCAGCCATGAAACTCCCACATCCGCAGGCGGAACAGAGGGCTTACTGAAAGATAAGAGTCGCTATGAATCACACCAGGCCGCAGCGGACCGAAGGCGCGTCACAATCGCCCAAGAAAGCCGCTTGTGCGAACGCTATACGTCAAGGCAAGGGAGCCAAGCTTGGGGTTTCCAGCTGCTATCATGGCTTCCGTACAAGCAGTTTGTGTGAAACCACCACTAGTACCAGCTTTGTGACTTGTGTGCTTCAGCTCTCAGTGGCACAGGTGAGGCAGGAAGAGAGGCGAGGAGGGGGAGGGGGGCGGAGCGGGAGGAAGCCGAGAGAGGCAGCGGCAATTGGGCCAGGGCGGAAGGGAGAGCCCAAGGCTCGGTTCGGCCTTGGGGATGGCGGCGGGCCAGGGTGCGGATCACATCAAGGGCTGGAAATCTCCGATGTTGGAAATCTCTTGATTACACGGGAGTTCAATAAATGTCAAAAGTTCAGTTGTACAGACTTTACTGGGAAACTATTACTTTCAGAAATTGTTGAAAACAGTCACACGTGTCAGTCAGTTCATGTAGAAAGGACTGGTATTGGGTTCTTTGCTTCTGCTATTGCTATTCAACCACATAGAAAGATTCTCCATCTTGACATTTACAGGACGCTAGAGAAACTGCTGGGGGAAACTATATCCTAGAACCAGAACCCTGATCACACCACATTCTTCTTGCACAACTCTCTGAGTGTCCAGTCCTCACGCCCTCTGCTCTGCAGTTTCCTGTGGTTGGGGATAATTCTCCGCACCAAGCTAAACGAGAAAAACCGCGGAAACCCCGAAATCTCTCTCACGCTTCGTCCCATCGGCCCTTCCAGATATGCCACTTTTGGGCGCAGATCATTGTCCACGTGTTTCGTCAGGACTGGCGGAAACTCCGCGACGATCCTTGCCACCTCAGCTCGTGCGAACCCTAGGGAAAGGAGGAAATCAGCCCGCGGCACGAGGGTTTTCTCAACGCTTCGGCAAAGGATGTACGGGTGGTGTAGGAGGAGATTAAGTAGTTTATCCTCTACGAGACCTATACCACGCAGATGCTGAATGGCCGGAATGATTTGTTTCTCGAGATTGCATCCCAGAATCTGCGGGCATCGGGTAACCATACGTCCGACTTGCGACGCCGAAAAGGGCAGGTTGGATTGGAAAAAGAGAACGAGCGGGCGCATTTTGAGGTCGATGCTGTAGCTCACGAGCCGCGGGCAGGCGAGAATGACGCGTCGGCATTTCTCCTCGGCAATATCGAGGTGCTGCAAGAGCGCGAGCAGCGGGCAGAGCTTCTCCTCAATGCTGCGCGCGAGGATCCCAGGGAACTGCGCGATCGCGCGGCGGAGGTCCCGCGTGGTGAACCCCACTCCACGGAGGCACTCCGCGGCTGGGCGGAGCTTTTCGGGGACGCTGTACGCGAGGAGCTGCGGGCAGCGGCGGAGGAGCGGCGGAAGGGCCTTGGCGGAGAAATGTAGCTCGTCTAAGAGAAACGCGGCGACTTTCCGCTGGTTGGGGAGGGTACTCGACTCCGCGAGGCGCGGGCAACGGGTGAGGCAATGGTTGGCTTGGTCAGGGGAGAGGGTGAGACTGATGAGATACGATGCTGCTTCTGCAGCTGCCATGAGCAGGCAGGCGAAGGGAGGCCGATGTGGGCCCTGGCGATAGCTACGGGCTCGTTGCTGAGGATGACCTACTCGCGCCGCGACTGGCCATTATGTTTCATGATCATGATGGAAGGGAGAGAGGTCTCGAGCAAAATGGCCTCAACATTGTAAACTAGGGGCGATTTGAGCCAACAGGGGCTCATCCCAATGGATTCCACGCGATATGAAGCGGTCATGTAGCATATTACGTGGTTGAGAGAATTGACAGTGGGGCGTGTAAAAGTTGGGATCACACCATATTCCGAGACAAACACGCCAGCTTCACTTCAGGGCAGTCAGAGCAGCGTTGAAGGATGTCTTATAACGCACCAATCACTGTAAACAGCACACTGCGGAAGTCCTGAATTTCCAGCTCAACCATTGATAGGCCTCCACTGGCGTTGGAGATTCGATTAAGGTTATATATTGATCGTAATCAATGTACAAAGATTAATCCATAGAGCAGTCTAGAAACATGGCCGAGGTGGCCAGCATCCGTAGCGGAGCACGTGGAACACACGTTATTCCTTGTCCTCGCGGACAACCGCCAGCTGCCTGGGGAGACGCTCTATGCGATGGACGTCTATGGTGGTCGGAACGGGTTTCCCAAGAGCCAGGAGAATCTTAGGTCGGGGTGAATAGAGGGTGTACCGGTCCTGTCGAAGAGGAGGAAGCGGAGTTTCTGTGCTCGCTTGATGCTGGATGATATACGCTGACGTTTCTTGGCCGATTGGCGTTTGCCTCTCCACATATAAATTTTGAAGGCGATGAGGAACTGGGCTAAGATGAGCTGCAGTATCTCGAAGCTCGAGGAGGAGGAGTTGCGGTACCTGTGGTCACAGCGGCTGTTCCACAGCGTCTTGACTGCAGCTCCTACTAGTAAGCTCCATGGGGGGGACTGTCCAACCCGTGACTGTATCGGAAAGAAGATGTGTTCGGCGGGGGGGGTCTGTCCGAGGTGACGGTCAGCGACTGTGCGCAGAGCAGATGACGTTTCCGGCGGAGGCGCACTCGAAGAAGATATGCGGCAGTGTCTCGACAACAGCAGCAGGACACCGGGGGCAAATCCCTCGGTCGTCAAAATATTGGAAGCGTGAGCCAGAGGGAAGGGTTAGTGTGTATAGTCTGAAAAGGATATCCCGTTGGCGGCTCGGCTGGTCTTTGAGAAAGGAATGCTTAAGGCCAGGGAGAGGGGGAGGAGGAAGGGTGAGGTCTCAAGTCCATCGACTGTGGTGAGTAAGCGGCTGTGTGGAGTAGAGGAGACGGCGGATGTCGGCGACGCTGGGGATGCCGTCCTGTAGAAGTTCTACCCTAGCTCCTAACCCTGTCCCTGTATGAAGTGGCCCTGCGAGCCACCACTCCCTGACACAGACCTCAACGAGATCGTGTAAACGGAAGAGTCCGGTGTTTATTGGGGTGCGGCCGATGCGATGGTTGGGCGAGACGGGGTGGACAGTAGCCGAGACGGAAGAGGGGGGGATGAAGTCGACGACCTGGATAGCGAGGTGAGATATGGAGTAGTGGTCATCTGAAGGCATGAACCAATCTCCTGGGGAAGCAGAGGATGGGTGAGGGGATCGTAGGCCGGCCCACCAGGGAGGCTTGATAGCCTTGATGAGATCTGGGAGGAGGCGTGTGGCGTCGTCGTGAAATTCCTCCGGGAGTTGGGAGCAGAACTCTTGAGCCGAGATAGGGCTGACGTCGAAATTGGTGATTCGGGCAATGTGTCCGATGCGGAGTTGTCGTGTGAGCAGGAATCGTTCATGTTGGCGGGTGCCGAAAGGTCGCTCGTCGGGTTTGAGGAGCCACCGGTTGAAGGCGAGAGGTTCGGTGAGGATGCATTGCATGCGTAGAGGGGGGCCATGGATAACCAGGGGAAGAGCGAGGAGGGTTTTGAGTTCGTCCAGTGGCCGAGGGGGGATGAAGGAGGGAAGGTAGTCTCGTTCAAGAATGGCTTTATGGGAGAGCAGGCCATGTAGCCCGAAGGGGAACGGTGTCAGGGTCCGTGTGACTTCCTCGGACGGGGTGGGTCCAAATCTGCGCAGGGCACGCTGGATAGTGAGGGCTTTGATTTGGGTAGATGGGGCGATCGCACCAACCCCGCCGTCTTGGGGTGAGTTGTAAAGGAGACCATTGGGGAGGAAGCGTTGTGCGAGGCCATCCTGTTTATGTTTTGAGGACGAGAGGAAGTTTCCAACTGAAATGTTAATTCGTTTGATGGTGTCCGGCGGTGCGGGCTGGAAGCGACCGGGGAAGGAGATGACCGAGTTCAGAAAGATCGAGGATAGAGACTTGCGGCATGTGACGGTGGCATGTAAGGCCGCCAGGAATTTGGCGGTGCTTTGTATGCGAGCAAGAGCTTTAGTCCAAGTAGTGGAGCCTGGGTGTAGTCGCTCAACATATATTCCAAGGATGCGTTCTGCTTCGTCGGGAGCTCGGACGGATATCGGCCCAGCGTGCACGAGGTCAGTGGGGGGGATGTTGAAGGGAATAATGGAGCATTTGTTCCAGTTGGGGACCTCCCCGGACACAGATCCAAAGACCCCTAGGAGCATCACTACGAGGCCGAGCTCTGAGTCTGAGGTGAGGAAGAGAGTGACATCGTCCGCGTAGCATGCCATGAGGCGGCGCTGGGCAGGGGACAAAGCGAAGCCGGGGAGAAAGAGGGACATGTAGCGGTGGAAGATCTCGATGACACAGACGAAGAGCAGAGGCGCCAGAGGACAGCCCTGTCGGACGCCCGTACGGACGGGGAAGGTGGGGCCGAGCATGTTGTTAACCGAGATTCGTGTGGACGTGTCGGAGTGCATTAGTCGTACCCAATGGATGAAGGGTGCAGGGAGACCGAGGACCGCTAAGGCTTGGAGGAGGAATGGTCTGTCGACAAGGTCATAGGCCTTTTGAAAGTCCACCGTAAGAGCGAGGAGCGGGGCCGAGGAGTAGGCCGCCCAGTCCATGATATCGAGGGTATCATTGATTGTGTCTCCAATTTTCCAGTGTTTAATGAAGGCGGTTTGGGATGGGTGGATGAGCTGGGGGAGAGCTAGCTGAAGGCGGTTAGCAAGACACAGAGCGAGGACTTTGTAATCAGCGTTCATGAGGGTGATGGGGCGGAGGTTCTCCACTAGCGAGGAGTCTCCCCTCTTGGGGATAAGGACGGTGCGTCCGGTCAGCATCGACGGAGGGAGGCGAGAGAGTGGCTGTGGTGGGGACAGCAAGGAGTGGAAAGCCGGTGCAAATCGTGGGGCGAAATGCCGGAAAATCTCCCCGGGAAGGCCATCTGGGCCAGGGGTTTTTCCTCGAGACAAAGAGAGCAGCGCTTTTCCAATTTCGGCTAGGGAGAAGGGGGCGCTGAGGCGTAGGAGTAAGGGGTTCGGGATGGAGGAGGGGGGAATATGTTGCCAGAAGGAAGAGTTCGGGGTAGCAGGGTTGCTCCCGCTATAGAGGGATTGGAAGAAGCTGGAGCACATGCTGGTCATGGTGGAGAGGTCTGACGTGGTCTGTCCGTTAGGTAGGGTCAGGGAGCTGATAATCGAGCCCTTGATTCGCGAGTTGAGTCCGGAGAGGAGGGAGGAGACTCCCATTTCCCTATGCCCTTCCACTTTAAGTTTGGCCTTGAGCGCAATCTCGGAGGCTTTCGAGGCTTCGTATCTGGCCAGGTGGAGACGTGCTTGGTCGAGGCGGTCGGACTCGGCCCTGTTCAGGGGTGTGTAGGCTGCTTGCCGTTGTAACGAGCCGATGATGAGTTCCAAATGTGCAGTCGTGCCGTCGACGCGACGTCTCTCCTGGTTGGAGAAGCGCTTGAGGTTCAGTGTGAGGTCGAGCTTCCAGCTGTCCCAGGAGTCCGGGGACGGGGATGAGGGGAAGACCGTAAGGGCGGAGTCGATGATTTGTGCAACATGGGGGCGCATGAGTAGATGTTGACGGAGTCGCCAGGGACGAGGGGCGACTGTGGGATTGATGAAGCTGAGCGAGCAGAGAGGGGCGTACAAGTGATCCGTAAGGAGCGTGTTAGTTTGGATGTACGGACTTGCAGTGAGGCGGGGTAGGAAGGCACGGGAGATGTACATCCTGTCGAGACGGGAGGATGTAGGCGGTGTCGCAATACTGTGGCGCTGCCTCCCAAAGAAGGAGAACACGTCGGTAGGCGTGGGGTGGAGTGCACGGAAAGTGTCGACCAATGCGTGGTTGTCCATAACTTTGGCGAAGGAAGCTCCTTTTACGAGCCTCGAAGTCTTCAGGGGGGCGGTTCCTGTCGATGGGGAGGATGACCGAGTTGAAATCGCCGACAAGCATGGATGCCGAGGCGGCGGTGGGGGCTTCCAGTGCCGGGATGAGAGTGGTGGTCCACCATATCCGGCGTCTGTAGAATTGTGTGGGGGCATAGATGGCAATGAGGCGGATTTGTTCGCGGAGATAGTTGAGGTGAACGGTGATGAGTCTGCCGTCTGCGGAGGGAAGTGGAGAGGACAGAGAGATGGCCCTGTTAAAAGATAGGATGGAGACTCCACCAATGAGAGTGGGCCTTCCTGTGGCGCTATCGGTAGAGAGAAGAGCTGGGGCGTGTGCGGAGGCGTGAGGTCGCAGCTTTAGGTCAAGGTTGGTGGTTTTGCGGATGAGGCGGGTGTCGATGAGGACGACCAGGTCAGTGGGGGCAGGAAGTCTCGAGAGCCACGACTTAAGCTCATCCATTTTGCGGGTCCCGTTGATTCCGTTCACGTTAACGCAAAGAGTGCGGAGGTGTGTTAACATGGCGATGACGTGAAGGCCACCGCACGGGAGATCGTGCGTATCCACGGCCTAGGAAGGAAGTTGTGACGGCCAGTGCTTGGAAAAGAGGCGAAGCCCGTGGAGTGCAGGGCATGGTGAGGGTCATGGTATCGTGGCGACATTTGGTTGCATGTCAGCGTGCGAAAGATGCGGAGTGTCTTGGAGTCCGAGGACTGCCAGAGCGGTAAGCGTATGGAGGGAGTGCTTAT